TTGCTCAGCTGCACCATTTGGAATGATTTGTTGGTAGCTGGTTATTCTGGAGAATAAATCTTTTAAAAGAAAACCTTCCCCTGTTGTGTATTTTGGGCATTTGCACACGAAGTCATGGACCCTTTGGTCACCACTGGCTTGCCGTTTTCCTTGAGCTGCTATCACAACCCCAGGATCTCTTTATTGGTTAGGCACCACTAACTCAGATTCCATCAGCTTATACCTTGGTCTTTTTGCCCCAAAGTGCATCATGTCTAATTTGAAAGGTGGCACCATTTTTTTCTGTCTTTCCTGAATCTCCCAGCATTTCGCTTCATTGGATATGCCTTGGTGTGCTCTAATACTACAAGAAGAAGGAAGAAGAAAAAAATCAGTCTATTCATGGTCTCAAAAGAATATCAGAAAAGCCCTGTGGGACAGACTGAGGGTCCAACTAGTCAGCCGCTCACAAGAAACCCATGAGCAGAACCAGAATGCCACAGCTTCCTCCCTCCCACATTTCCCAGAAACTACATAAACACGTGGCCTGAGATATGGGACAAAGGATCTGGCCATGAGGACTAGTAGCTATGTCGTATTTAAATTCATAAAAAGAGGATCAGACCATAATCCAACATACTGTTCACACCAGGACAGAAATGCCCCAGTACCCTCTCACCCATGTTCCGCGGCAGTTGCTGCACATAGGCAGATGGCTTCTGGTAGTGCAGGCTGCCTATGCTCATGAGGACTAGTAACCCCTGCCAGCTTTAGTCCCTCAGTGCCTCCTCCCATGGGCACTTCTGGGGTCTCCCCCTGAGCTCTTCCACCTCCCTCTTCCAGGACTGCCAGGCACCTCACCGCCACCCCTGCAGTGCAGTCCTCTTTCCCCTTGGCCCAGAAGGCACTCACCAGATCCTCCCCCCGAAGAAGCTGAGGCACCCCCAAATCCTCCTCACAGCCGGAAGTCTCAGTTTCCCCCGTGACAGGTGGGAGGGAGCACAGCCGGAAGTGAGCTCATTATTCCTGTCTACTGTTTGCCACTCTAGGAAAATGGAAACCTGATTGTTTCACCATAAACCTATGAGAATTTAGACTTGCCCACTGCGCCCAGAGTCTGGGTCAAGTTGGCTTTTTTTTAAATCTCTTTTTTTAAGCGATTCCAGGGAGCGGGCAAAATTTGCCTGCAAAATTGAGCTCTGCAAAATTGAGGCCGGGAGGGTCGAGAGGGTGAAGTCAGTTCTATTCACCTTTGCTGCTACCCCAAGGATGTCGCAGTTTTTTGTCTGGAAATGCAAACCAGTGGGCGAGTTTTGCTTCGGGCAGTGAGAAAACCTGTAGGAATTTATTTATTTATTTATTTATTTATTATTAAAACATTTCTATGCCGCCCCTTGCCGAAGCCTCGGGGCGGCTTACAACACAATAAAATACAATAAAATACAAAAATAACAATCTAAAATTAAAATTAACAATATAAAATAAATAAAAAATATAAAAGGTTTTCCAAAATCAGCTTTCTCTTATGCCAGAAACAGAGCTACGTATTCATTTGTTTATTTCCAGCCGTTCTGCACTTCTGCTTGTTATGGTGAACAATCAAAGCCAGAAAGAATAAAATCGTGTATCTGAAGCTTTTAAAAACGATGTGATGATGAAAACAGTGGCAGGTCCATCAAGGGAGACGCTTCGAAATAAAGCAGTTTTTCAGCAAGTGCACGAAGCAGTGCCAGCCTGAAGACTTTTCTGCAGGGGAACTCCAGGAGCTACGTGGAACCAGCAAGAGCATGGCCTCCTATAGGCTCCTGTAATTGAGCATACAAACTACACAATCTCAAAAAGCAAAGGCAGCCAGGTTGGACAAAAGAAAAATGCAGGGAGGTTACACCGTTATTGGATCCACTCGAAGGCCACCGAAAGCCGCACAGGTTTTTGATCTTGTGGATCAAAGATCTCCAGATCTTTTCAACAGATAAAATGGTACTAGGGGAAAAAATGTGTATTAGGGAATAGCTGATGCACAAGCCAAAATGGATTTCTGAATTTTTATTTAGGCCAGCTCAGCTGCTGTTTTGTGTAACCTGGGGAATGCCAGGTTACAGCTATGCCAACAGCTGGATTTTTCACTTGTGGGAAAAGACTTTCATACCACCTGTGAGGTGAGATGTTATTTTCCAGCTACAGGGCAATGTTTTGGCTTTGATTTATTTATTTTAAAGCATGTTGTATTGTTGCTTTTTAAACCTAGCATACCAGCCTTCCTAAACTGGTGCCCTGCAGGTCATTTGAGCTACAATTCCTAGGATTTCTGACCATGGTCCATGCTGGCTTTGGCCAATGAGAGCAGAAGCTCAAAGGGATCATGCTGCAAAATTCCTCCAGTTTTAGTCCATATCAGCACGTCAATGATCACGCATCCTCTCTACTGCCTTGTGTATTTATCTGTATCTTCCTCTGCTTGTGCCAAATATGTATGTACCTTCTGCTACTGTAATTTCTTGTGGTGGTGGGAGAAATCTAATCTCACACAAGCAAAACTCTTCTTGCATAATAGGTTTGCCCCTTTTTCCTCCTCCTTAGCCCAAAGCTGCTGTAGCCTTCCAGAGTAGATTTTGGAACTCTGTGAGATATTTTAAGTAGAACGTCAATAGCTGGCCCAAAGTGAGCTTCAGGAGCAAGTGGGGACTAGAACCTGGATCTCCTGAGTCCTGGTCCAGGGCTCTAACCATATCAATAAAAACTGTTCCACCAGCAGGAAAGTTAATTTGACCCATTTGTCTGTGACCCTAAGAAACATATTTAGGATCCATCCCCTGCTTTCTTTTAAAGACATCATCTTGCCAAACAATATTGCATTTTTGGTATTCTTCAGTGTGAAGTAAGAATGCCAGTTTGACTAAATGTCTTTCCACGCTCCAGGCAGCCAGAGGGTTTCTCCTCTGCATGAATTCTTTGATGTGAAGTAATTTTATCTCTCTGGCCAAAGGCTTCTCCACACTCTGGCATTAAAATTATTTTTCCCTTCTTTGAATTCTTTGGTGTGAAGTAGCTGTATCACTCCAACATAGGCTATTTGCAGGCTCCAGACATTTAACTATTATTTCCTTCATTTGAATTCTTGGATGAAAAAGAAGTTTATCACTCTAACTAGAGGTCTTTCCACCTGCGGCCTTTTAAATGGTTTCTCCCATGTGTGAATTCTTTGATGTGAAATAAGGTTATCATTGTGATTGAAGGTTTTTCCACACTCCCAGGTTTCTCAATGGTTTCTCCCTGTGTGACTTTTTTACCTGGTGTCATTTGCATAGTGGGAGGAGCAACCCAGTGAGAACTACCTGAGGGATAGGGAACTACCTATTGTTTCCCCACTGCTTTCGAGAGTGCCAGGGGAAAAAATTGATGGCTGTATAGGTATTTTCTACTTCCGTTCCAGTTGTATCAATTATTATTACTGTCGTTGTCATCATGATTATTATGAATTGCTGTGAACTACGAAAACTCTTTGGGTGGTTCACAGCAATTCATAACAGTTGCATAAGAACAGAATAGATTATAAAGCACAAGCAGAACTGAATGCCGAAGAATTGAGGCCTTTGAATTGTGGTGCTGGACAAGACTCCTGAGAGTCCCTTGGACCACAAGATCAAACCGGTCAGTCTTAGAGGAGATCAACCCTGACTGCTCTTTAAAAGGCCATATACTGAGGATGAAACTCGAATACTTTGGCCACCTAATGAGAAGGAAGGAAGGAAGGAAGGAAGGAAGGAAGGAAGGAAGGAAGGAAGGAAGGACTCACTGGAGAAGACCCTGATGCTGGGAATGATTAATTGCAAAAGGAGAAAGGGACAGCAGAGGTTGAGATGGCTGGATGAGGGAGGTGGGTGCAGGCTTGGATGGACTCTGAGGGATGGCGGAAGACAGGAGAGCCTGGAGGGATGTTGTCCGTTGGGTCGTGATGGGTCGGGCATGACTTTGCAGCTAAACAAAAAACAATCATAAAATACATGCAATAAAATACGGGATAAAATTCTGATATACAAAATAGGTTGTTGTTAGTTGTGAAGTCATGCCCATCGCAACCCCATGGACAACATTCCTCCAGGCCCTCCTGTCCTCCACCATCCCCCGGAGTCCACCCAAGCTCACGCCAACTGCTTCAGTGACTCCATCCAGCCACCTCATCCTCTGCCACCCCCTTCTTCTTTTGCCATCTATTGTTTCCAGATACAAAATATAAAAAGATGCAAAACACTAAAACAATTTCAGTAAAAAGCTAGACCTGTTAAAACACGTATCGTACGCCATTAAACAGTTATGCGTAGCAATAAAAATGAAGCCATCAAACATCATTTTAATTGTTAAAATATATGATCTGGCCAGGGCAACTTCTTCTTCCTTCTCTTTTCTCCTCCTATATTCTTTATGTACTTATTTTATACTGTTAATTTTAATTTTATATTATTATGTTTGTATCTCTGTGTATTTTTTGTATTTTTGTATTCAGTGGTAATTTATTATGTTCTATTGTATTTCAATGTATTTTATTGTGTTGTAAGCCGCCCCGAGGCTTCGGCAAGGGGCGGCATAGAAATGTAATAATAATAATAATAATAATAATAATAATAATAATAATAATAATAATAATAAAAAATGGGTAGCTTGAATCGTCTGGATGTGTCTTCCACCACGAACCTTTAAAGTCTGCGTGGAAAAGAGACGCAGCAAGTGCTTCGCATTACGCACAACACATCTTCAAAGCTGTTTCCTCTGGAAAAGGAGAACACGGTTCCTCTTGTCGCCCTTCTTGGGGGATTTTACACAAAACTTGTCTAAGAAGGCGGGAGCGGAGTGTCCATTTCAACACCCCGCTTGCAAACAGACCGCTTTGCATTCCCTTGACTCCCGCCTTGCCTCCGGGTGGGAAAACCCGCTTTGCCCAGAAGCGGGCGTGGCGCTCTAACGTTATTAGCTCTATGCGACACGCATCTCCCGGTCCTCCTCTTTTGTGTCTTTTTCCCTCCCCTTTCACGCCTCCGAGAGACGGACCCTTCCTGGATGTCCTCGCTCCTCCGGGGCATCGGCGGCCTCCTGGAGAAAGGTATCTGGGGCAATCGCGTGCATCCCCTCATGGGGGGCAGGTCGGGAGCGGAGCCGGCCGGAGCCGGGGGTCAGACTAGATGTCCCGGGGAACCCCTCCTGGCTCGCTCTGTTTCCATGTTTCTGTGCGCTGTGCGCTGCGCACCAGGTGAGGGAGCCGGTGCCAGGTGCGCCTGGCACACCTGGATTCCTCGCTCCACCTGCCCTGAGTGGTCCTGCAGGCTCGGGCCAAAGTGACCGTAGGGGATTGGAATGACCCAGAGGCTGGACAAAAAAAGAGATGTTGGGGCTGTGCGGAAAGGAGGCGTGCTGGGGGTGTCCGGAAGGAGGCCCAGTGTGGGAGAAGTGGGGAAGAGACCCCCCCCCCCCCGCCACCACATAATCCAAGACTCAAAGGGGTCATCCGATAAAGAGCTGGTGAGTGGGGCATCTGGGACAAAGCAAAGGAAGGGCTTCCCCACCCCCCCAGGGCATAATCAAACTGTGGAATCCATTTCCATGAGAAGTAGCAGCAGCTGCCAAGTTACATGGCTTTAAAAGGGAATTGGACAAATTCATGGACATGGTGGCTAGTGGTTCTAGTCCTCATGACTGTATGTTATGTCCAGTACCAGAGGAAGCACCCATTTGCTTGGGAACATGGTGAGGAAGGTGCTGTTATGCTCATGTTTCGCTTGTGGGTGTTCTATAGGCAACTGATTGGCTGAAGTGTGAACAGAGTATTGGACTAGTTGGACCTTGGGTCTTGTAAAGGGCAAAGCTACTAGTCCTCATGATCAGAGTTTCCTTCACTATTTCTTCTCATAGTGAAGAAGGGTATTTACCCTGTGCCAAATTCCCCGTTTGTCCTGCATTTATCTGCAATCCTCCCAGTAGGGTCTGGTGTGTGGAGTGTGTGTGAATTCTCCCAGCAATGGTGCAGTTCTCCTTCTTGTGATGTAAAATATTTCGGGGCGGACAATTTCAGCCCTTCTACTTTCCAAAAAGCCTTGCTGCCGGCAGGTGAAAACTCCCAGGAGTGGTTTAATCTGGACAAATCCACAACCTGTAGTCTTGGACTTTCCTTGGGGTTTTGGATAGGGGGACTCCTCTGGGGAGCACCAACCAGCCTTCCAAATTCTCCACTGCCTCACTGGCCCCGATGGGTGTTTGGCCGAAACGGACAAGCGGGTGCCGTGGCAGAAGGTTGTAAAGGCGGCTGGTAGTTGCAAAATAGTAACAATAACAATAAAGGCCAAAACCTTTTTATTTTCCCAATATTTTAAGGTCTGACTGTGATTTTAATATGGGTTTTATTGTCAGAATTTGATTGGGATGTTGTATTTTATTTTATTTTATTTTATTTTATTTTTTGTCTTACTGTTAAACCATCCCGAGACTTCAGTAAGGAACTGTCTAAAACACTTTTAATTTAAATAAACAAACAACAACAACAGTTTTATTTCATCATCATCTTTGTATATCATATTAATCTGGCCTTTTTTCCTGCAAGGCATCCAAGGTGGTTTACCTGATCCTCTTTGTCGAGGGGGGCAGCCCTGTATGTAAACAATCCACACATTCTAGAGCAATAAAACTAAAGTCCTTTAATGCTAATTGTCTACAAGATTTACAACTCTATAGATAAGTTCCCTAATAGCAGACCTTGCTAAACAGATGTTAACTCTCTAATGGCTTCTCTTCCCAAGCCCATGTGGGATCATTCTCCCAAGTCACGCCTTTCCTCCCTCTTACGTAATAAATTTTGCCGCTGTTCATACCTGCGTAAAATACGTCTGTTCTGGGCCCTTGAAAAATCCACGACACCTGTTGTGTCTTCTGTTTCTGGCTCAGGGAGATCAGCATCAGGGGGGGAAGAGGCAGTTTGCTCTGCCTCCTTCTGAGTAGAACTTGCAGCTCCCTCTTTCTCGTGACTCCCTGTCTCTGATAAAGGTCCAGGCGTTTGCTCAACATGCTGCGGATCAGAGGAAGACGCAGCGGCTGGCTCAGCCGTCCCTGCGTTGGGTTGCGGGGTCGACTCTTGGGCACTGGATGTCAGATGCAAGGTCTCCTCGTGAGTCACTGTTTCTGTCGGAGCTTCATGCACGACACTCTTATACCTCTCCATTTTATCTTCAACCCTGTGAGGTGGGTTAGGCTGAGAGTCAGTAACTGGGCCAAAGTCACCCAGTGCGATTCATGGCTGAGTGGGGACTTGAACCCTGAGCTCCCAAGACCCAGTCCAGCTCACAAGCCGCTATGCCACACTGGCTCTCTACTCAAGGAGGACAACGCAGACTAGAAAAAGACAAGGAAAAATGAGAGACCAGCCCCTGGTGGATCTTGTAAATTTGAGCACTCACCCAGCAATTGAAATTATCTTCTTTTTCCTAGACTTCACAATAAATATGTCACAATATGTTTATTTTATTTTATTTTTTATTTATATCCTGCCTTTTTCCTACAAAGGGCTCAAGGCAGCTTACATCTCCTCCTCCATCTTATCCCCACAACAACAATCCTGTGAGGTAGGTTGGGCTGAGAGTCTGTGAGTGGCCCAAAGTCACCCAGTTGGTTTCATGGCTGAGCGGGGACTAGAACCCAGATCGTCTGAGTCCCAGTCCCATGCTCTTAACCACTACACTACACTGGCTCTCTCTCTTTAGTCCTGTCATTCAACTAAAAGTACCCAAAATTATGTTTTTCAAAAACCCATTTCTAGCTCTGTTTCCTTCACTCTGATAAAGTGGGGACCTATAGCTTGTATGCCATCCAGTCATCTCTGACTTATGGTGACCCTATCAACATGTTTTCCAAAATGTCAGCTCCTTGTCAGCCCCACTCGACTCTTCTGAATTCGGGGCTGCGGCTTCCTTGGGGGAGTCAACCCATCTCAGGTGTGGTTGTCCTTTTCTTCTTTTGCCTTCCCCTTTTCCTGGCATGACTGTCTTCTCCGAGGGGTCCGGTCTTCTTGTGATGTGTCCAAAGTAGGACAGCCTCGGTTTGATCATTTTTGTTTCAAGAGAAAGCTCTGCCTTGTCTTTCTTTGTCTTTCCGTCAGCCACAAAGCTCTCCTCTAACACGTTTCAAACACGTCTGTTTTCTCCCTGCCCGCTTCCTTCCCTGTCCAGCTTCCACACCCACTCAGTGACCAGGAATGGAAGAATGTGGATGGTCTTGGCCTTGGTCTCCATGGGAACAGCCCTGATTATTTTTTTCTGTCTGTAGAGTGCAGTCCCAGAATAGCTAGTTCTGATTAGGAATTATCTTTCTTTTTGAAGACATTAGGAATTACCAAAGCTCTGAGAAGATGGACTGAGGAAGAGGGGGCCCAGAGAAAGGACAGCTTTCTGCCTTCCCATTTGGAGGATGTCCCATTTCCGTTGTCCCAGCTGGTTGCTGTCCTCGAAGATGAAGGACCCGGGCCTGGATGGTCCGGGTGAAAGGACGGGAGCAGCCAAAGGCCTTCCTGATGCTCTGCAAGCTGGCATTTTGTGGGAAAGATCGGTGCACAAGATCCTGGGGGTGGACATTGCCAGCTCAGAGGAGAAGCGCCAGCGTTTCCGGAAGTTTCTCTCCCACGAGGCTGAAAGGCCCCGGGAGTTTTGCAGCCGGCTCTACAACATTGGCTGTCGGTGGCTGAAGCCGGAGCAGCACACCAAAAAACAGATCCTGGACCTGGTGATTCTGGAGCTCTTTCTGACTGGGCTGCCCCCAGAGCTTGGCAGCTGGGTCAGGGAATGTGGGGCAGAGACCAGCTCCCAGGCAGTGGCACTGGCCGAAGGTTTCCTCCTGAGCCAGGCAGAGGTTGAGAAACGGGGAGAGCACCAGGTGAGGCTGTTTTGTTGTACGTTCATTATTTCCTTTCCCCACCAAATCGGCCACCTGGACACAAAGTGGGTGGCCGGCCCATCCAACCAAGGATCTCCGTTTCTGGCTGATAACACTTCGACCTCTTCCCTGGCCCTATTTCTAAGATCTGGAAAAGCTGCACATTAAGAACATCTGGTCTGGGGGCCGAGTTGCCAGTCTTGCCCCCCACAATGCACGCGCCATAGTGAATAACCTCCCTGCTGGACTACTGGAATGCGTTTTGTGTGGGGCTGTCCAGGTTCACAAGCTGCGGCTGCTGCAGGAAACAACTCTGGCCCCAGAATGGCCGTTCTTACCCTGGGAGGGAGACACCAAAGGCAGAGGGGAGGGGGGACTGCCACAGAGAGGACGGACGGGATCTCTCCTCGCTCATTCCAGAGTGCAGGACATGGAATTATGGACTCAAGTGAAAAAAACGAGATTTAGAGTAGACACCAGGAAGCATTTCCTCACTGTCAGGGCAGTAAGACAATGGAACCTGTTACCTAGGGAAGCTGTGGGCTCTCCCTTGCGAGAGAGATTCAAAAAATGTCTGGACAGTTACCTGAGTGGGTTGCGTTGAGTTAGTCTCCTGCAGCAGCAGCAGCGGGTCAGACCCGGTGGCCTTCTGGCCCCTTCCGACTCTGTGATTCTATGCCTGGAGGGTGCGGGTGGCCACGGTTTACCCAGCCCAGCCCAGCCCAGCCCATCCTCACGCTTGGAAGAGAGCTTGTACGGCACTTTTCCTAAAGCTCCAAGCTCATCCAAATATTCACTTGCACACAGAAGAGTATCTTACACTGCCAGAACGTCGGTGCACCTACTTCAGCATCGTTGACCCGGTTCTCACGGCAAGATAAGTCTTTGTGGGCAGTCGGCCACAGCAAGTTGTCGTTTGGCCTGAACCCGGACTGTTGTGTTGTCCTCCACGGTGGCTCCTGAGAACTCACGGGCTGTTCTAGGAGCTGTTTGACCCACGATGGGTTATTGTATTGTCTGAACCTGGGCGACCGATGCCGCCGTGGGTTGCAGAAAGCAAGGAATGAATTGCTTGGCAAGAGCAGCAAGCGACCCTGGATGCGCTCGGTGGTCCCATCCACGCGGCGGCCAGGGGTTGCCCCTGCAATGCGCCCATGTGGTGACCCCCCCCCCGAATTGTGTCCCAGATGTGCACAATTGTCTCCACGATTGTCACTCTGTTTTATTGGAAGACCGTCCTGAGACCTTGGTAGCAGACAGTATATAAAACTGTTAAATAAATAAGTAAAAAAATTAATATGTTGACTTGCGCAGTTGTGAAGGGGCGCCATTGCATGGGGGTCCAAAGATGGGAAGTCCTGCCTGGGCACTGCCCCAGAACAGGGATTTATTTATTACTCCTTTAGGTATCGAGGCCCTGAGCTGTTTAGGGATCAAAGTGCGTCAGGCAGCAACCCTGAGTATGGAGCCAGAGCGGCCCCAAATAGGCTTCCCGCTGCCTCTTGGTCTCGCCCCACACACAGCTGTCAAATGGGGAGCTCTGATGGGAGAGCAACGCCGTGACGGATCAGATCTTTACTTGCAAAGAGGGTTGGGGGCTTTTCCTCCGTTGCCAACGGAAGGCTGAACTAGGCGGACGCTTGATCTGACCTCACAGGATTTCTCTTCTGTTCTTGCGTGCCCGAACGAGGAAGCTGGAGCCCCGGTGATGAATGCAGCCGGGCTATTTGGAGTGGGTGGCGCAAGGCAAAATCCGTTCCTCTGTTTTCGTACTCAAGGTGGCGCCAGATACCCCAGAGGCACAAGGGGCTCCGCTGGACACGAGCCAGAGGTCCCGTGCCGGGCAGATGGCACAGGAGCGAGATGCAAGGGCTGCCTTGTTGGGTAAGGACATCTGCTTGCGTGTGCTGAGGTGCTTGGGAAAGTTCCCTGATGCGTCTTCCCAGCAGCTTAACTGTTCACAGAAACAGGGTGAGTCTGAAGGGGTCTCCCGGGCTATCTAGTCTGACCCCCGGCTCCAGCTGGCTCCACTCACGACATGCCCACCATGTGCACGTCCAGCCTATCCTTGAACACCCGCACCGATGGGGGCCCAGCCACCTCCCGTGGAAGCCCATTCCACACCCTCGGGGTCCTAACTGTCAGGAAGTGCTTCCTGGCATCCAAATTGAACCTTGGTTCCCTGAGCTTCGTTTCCGTTGGAGCGCATCCTGCCCTCCTCTGCAGGGGAGAACAGGTCTCTACCCACCTCCGCGGGACATCCACTCACATACCTCTGTGTCAGCAACAGATCCCCTCTGAGGCTCCTCTTCTCCAGGCTGAAGAGGCCCCGTTCCCTCAGTCTCGCCCTCATACGGCATCCCCTGCAAACCGGCCACCAACCTTGTGGCCCTGCGCTGCACTGACTCCAACATGGCTATCTCCTTCCTGTAATGAGGGGCCCAAAACAGAGCACAATACTCCAGTTGCAGGCACACCAGAGTCATATAGAGTGGTAGTAATACCTCTCTCGATCTAGAAGCCACACTTCCTGCTATGCAACCAAGGGCAGCGTTCGCCCTCTTGACCACCGCATCACACTGTTGGCTCGTGTTTAGCCTGCAGTCAACCAGCACCCTGAGGTCCCTTTCACAAGTGCTGCTCTCCAGCCACTTGTCCCCTAACCGGTACTTATGGCACCCATTCCTATGCCCCAAGTGCAAGACCTTGCACTTACCCACATTGAACGCCATCCTGTTGTCCCCTGCCCACTTCCACATTCTGTCCAAATCCGTCTGGATCTGGAGTACCTGCTCCTCAGTTGTGGCCACTGTTCCCCTTTTAGTATCATCTGTGAATTTGATCATGATTTTATCCAAGTTAGATTATTACAGTGCAATCTACGTGGGGCTGCCCTTGACGATTGTTCGGAAGCTGCAGCCTCTGCAAAATACCACAGCCAGACGAATAACGGGGATCAGACAGCCTGGTCATAAACTCCAATTCTGGCCTCTATGCTTGCAGGCCTAAATCAAGGGGCTGGTTTTAACCCATAAAGCCCCACATGGCTTGGGACCACGATCCCTGATAGAGGGCCTCTCCCAACTTTTATCTACCCAGACACAACAGTCAAGTTCTGGGCCCTTCCTTTGGCTGCCATCTCTGAGTGGGGCTCTAATGGAGGCATCAAGAGGAGCCTTTTCAGTGGTCCTCCCCCACCCCAGTTCTGGAATCAGCTCCCCACTGAGCCCTGCCTGGTGCCAACATGACTCTCATTTCAGCACCAGCTATAGGCTGCCCTCAATTGGTGGGCATTTATTTTTATTATTATTTTATTAAAACATTTTTATGCCGCCCCATTCGCCGAAGCCTCGGGGCGGCTTACATCACTAAGTTAAAATAATTATAATATAAATTAAAAATATAAATATTAAATTAAAAATACAACAATACAGTATAAAATAAGCCACCCTGGCCAGATAAAATCCAATAATATTAACAGTTAAAATGCCGCTTGAATAAAAAGGTCTTCTCCTGGCGCCGAAAAACAAATAACGATGGCGCCAGAATTACTGAGGCCTGCTGGGAATTAGACAGGGTTTAACAGAGTCTTCTGAACTCATTATATTTTTTCCTCTTTTAAATTTGGTGTTAAATTTTGCATTGTTCGCCTTTAGGATGCTTGAATATGATTTAGTGGTCTATTTTATATTGTTTTTAAATAGGGTTAGGATTGGGGTCAGGTCGTTTTCCACGGGGGGCTTGTGTAGCCTTTCGCCTAGAGCTCCGAGCCCATCCAGGATCAAGCTGTTGTAGCAGGAACACAGAAAAGGTGCTTACCCTGGCAGAGCCTCAATCGGCCTGATTTGCATGCCAGGGCAACCCGTGGTGGGTAATTAGGTACAGTAATCAGCTGTCGCAAGTTGTCTCATTTTGTCTCAGTGCAGACTTTTGCTCTGGACAGTGGTCCCTGACATCTCCGAGGCTGTACTGGAGGGGTCCCACAGGGGGTCAGAGCACCTCCGTTTATTTTGGAGGGGCCTTCGTGGGGGCCACTGGACCCCCAAAGCCAGGGTCACTGTCAAGAGACTTAGTCTGGAGAGACTTCATCGTCCTGGTTCGTGGCCGGCAGCTGCCACGGTGTGAGGCTCCTGAGTGGAATGGACTAAGAAGGGGTGTTTTTCTGACAGTTTCCAACCATTCCCTGGAAATCTCTCTCTAGAGAGGCCGGTCGGGAATTCCACACCGTTTTTCTGTGACATGTTGCTCATGGCCAACCCTGTAGGTCATGCTTCTAGATAGGAACGGCCTTATTAATTCCACATTAGCCATTCTTGGAGATTTTTGTCTGGAAAGCAGGGTGGGAATGTAATTTTAAAACACCATTCATTTACAGAAAATAAGAAATAGCCTCTAGAAGCAGTCCTTGTTTCACCTTGCATTCGTTGCTCCGCAGAAATTTAAACAAAGCAACAAAGCTTATTTTTATTGTATAATCATAGGTCACGTAATCTTGGAAATAGTGTGGCTTTGGGGGCGTGGCTTTGATGGGGGTGTGGCTTTGAGGTATGGCTCTGCCTATCAATGAAGGGACCCCCCCCCAAATTTGCAAATTTCCTGGGCTTTTTTAGGGGTTGTTCAACCCATGATGGGCTATTGAGTTGAATAAAGGTGGGCCTTTTTAGCAGTGCCACCCAGATCCTCATGCAGTTTGGGAGGCAAAAAATGTGGTTCAGTTTGGATATCTGAAATTATACTTGTTCATCCAGGCTTACTGGGACTTGTAATTAAATTAATCATACCACTCCATTTCCCTTCTTGGTTTTGTTCTCCTTATTGTGATTGTTGTAATTAGTATTGATTTTTAAATGAATCTTAAATGTAATTTGAAACGGTGTATTTTAAAGATGATTATGATAGTGATCATTTCAATGTGATTATAAATAAGTATAAATAAATACATGTTGATTGGTCGGTGCTGGACAGGATACAGAATTTACGGGACTGAACCCCATACTTTGAATTGTGAGCTCCATGCATAAAGCAAGTAATTGGACAGCATACAAATTTGATCGATAGATAGATAGATAGATAGATAGATAGATAGATAGATAGATAGAGTTCTTTCTCACCCAGTTTTCATTCCTTGTAGGAGCTGGAACAAACTCACTGGAACAGGCCAGAGAGTCTCTCGCTGATGTACTGGCAACGGCTGCTGCAGATTCTGCTCAGGTGAGCAAGTGGGAGCGTAGCCTCCGCACCTTCTCCAAGGTGCCTTGCAACAGGACAGGATGGGATCCCATTCGGACTCGGATGAGGAGTGGGAGGAAGGCCTTGAAATGGCTGAGGGTTCAAGCTTAGTGCAGAATTAGGTAGGAATGTTTGGACGATGGTGAGCGTGTTGGACTGGGGACCTGGGAGATCCCAGTTCCAGTCCCAGATCTACCTGGACATCACACTCAGCTTCTGGGGTCTTCCTCCAGGTGCCAACCCCTCGGGAGGCTTGGAGGGTGGCAACCCAGGGAAGGGCCTTTTCGGTGGTGGTTCCCCATCTTTGGAAAACCTTGCTATGGCCTGCCTGGTGCCAAATTTGGCATCTTTGTGGTGCCAGGTCAGGACTGTCATCCATGTGGAAGCATTTAAAGACCTCCTGGAGGTCATTTAGGGGCCTGACATGATTAGCCAGGGGCCTTTCTTTTATTCTTGGCTGGGTCTTTTTCCTGTCTTTTCCTGTTTTAATGTTTTTATACTATTTTAAACTCGCGTTAAATTTCGTATTTGTTTTTATTGTATTTAATGTCTACCTTTTGTAAGTCACCCAGAGTGGGTGGTATAGAAATGTAGATGATGATGAAGATGATGCTTAATAATGAAATGATGATGATGATGATGCTTTTTGTAAGCTGTCCAGAGACTTTTGGTATTGGAACGGCCTATAAAAACTTTAAATAAATAAATAAAAATAGTTGCCACTCAGCTATTGCACTCACTGGGTGACTCAGGACCAGTCCAGGCTCTCAGCCCAACCTACCTCACAGGGTTGTTGTTGTTGTGAGAATAAGATGGAGAGAAGGAGGGATTAGGTAAGCTGCCTCGAGCTCCTTGAACGAAATAGCCCTGAAAGCATTTTTAGAACAGGGAGTGAAGCTACCCAAGCGGGAGGGAAGGGGGCCGAACTGGGGGATTGGGCCTCAGATGGGGAGGGGGAAGCGGCGGAAGGGGCTTGTCAAAGCCATTTGCTGTCTGAGGCTTTCCTAGTAAGGATCCCCCAATCGCTCTTGGTGGGCCTCTGAGGCCATCATGAAGGGGATTCTGAAACGAGGAGGAAGAGGTCTTGAAGACGCAGAGACAGGAGTTCTGGAAAGCCAGGGAGAGATGCAGGCCTTTGATGCTCCTGCACTTTCTATTCTATTCTGTTCTGTTCTGTTCTGTTCTATTTAAAACCTTTGTATGCTGTCCCCTTGCAAGGCATCTCGGGACAACTCACGGTCAATACATTGAAAACAATCAATAAAATCAAATACATTAAAACAATCCAAGCAACAAAAACATATAACCAATAAAATGCAATGGTTGCATTAAATACTAGTTTTTAAAATACCGGTTAAATAAAAAGGTTTTGACCTGGCGCCGAAAAGAGTATAAGCTCGGCGCCAGGCGAACCTCTCCGGGGAGCACATTCCATATCTGGGTGCCACCGCAGAGAAGGCCCTACTCTGACTAGATGCCCTTTTTACCTCCTTCAGGGGGTTCTTGGAGTATTGTTACTGTTGCTGCCCACCAGTTTCCGGCCTGGCCAGGAGGGTCGGGATGTTTTGGGAGGGACGGGATGGGTCGAAGAAGGGGAGGAGGGAAGGCCATTGCCTTGCCTGATCCCTGATCCCCTGGCAAGGCATCAGGAGACACAAAATGCCCAGCTGGGGGGCTCGTGCTGGTCACACTGCCTGGCACTTCACCCGTGGGAGCCCCAGAATTACCGAAAGGGAAGGATTTGGGGGAGAAGTCCCCAGTGAGGGTTGAATGACTTTTCTGACATGTGCAGAGGCTCAGCTTCCACAATCCTTGGAGGGCTTCTCAAGTCGTTTTGTCTTCTAGCTGTGAAGTGAAGATGGCGATAGCCTCGTGGGCGAGACGGCGAGGGCCGGGCTCAGGAGAGCATCGATTTTCATCTCTCAGGCTGCTTTATTAGCGATTAGCAGCTGCCATGCCGAATCCCGTTCGACCCTTTCATCGTCATCGTTTTCAACCTCACCGACTTCACAGCTGGACTGGCTGTTTTGCATTTTTCAATATTTACTTAGTTAGGTGTTTTGCATAAATGAATTGAGTTACTTGGAGCCGGGGCTCAGGGGAAGCGGCGGGAAGCAAACTGACCAAGCTGGTCAGCCAGAAATCATAGAGGGGACGCACCGGCGACATGTTGACAAGCCAGACGTTCCGCTCTGTTCCGTTTTCCTTTTGGGGCTGAAGGTTCTGAAAACCGTCCTCTCGCAACCCTGCGGAAACGGCACCCTGCCTGGCTCCTCCGTAACATTGTCCCCTTTTTGATGGCGAGACAGACAGGAGAATCTCTGAGCAAAGTGTGTGTTTTCGTTCCAGGGTCCAGTGACCTTCCCGGAGGTGGCTGTGCATTTCTCCGCAGAGGAGTGGGCACTGCTGGATCCGGGCCAGAGAGCTCTGTACAAGGACGTCATGATGGAGAATTACGGGATCATGGCCTCTCTAGGTAACCCTGCTTCATCAGAGCTTGACGTGCACCGGAGAAATGGCTTGCCAGTTCTCTGCTCTTGGCCTTTTTGCTCATTTCTTTTGGGAGACGCTGGAGGTCCTGACTCAGGGCCTGAGGTCTGTGATGGGCAGAGGGGGGGCGAAGAAGCGGAAGGTGTATCCAAACAAGGCAGAAGCATTGTTTAGGCACTTAAAGGGGGTTAAAAGCAACCCAAGAGGAGGAGGGACTCTCCAGATATGGCCAGTTTTCCTCCGCTTGTGAATGGCAACTGCTCAAAGACGGGGGCCCAAACACAGATGTTCCCACATTCTGGTTTGCTTGGGGAGCCTTCAGGAATAAAATGTTATTTATTCCCCGGAAAACGGGGGCATCTTTTGCTTTCTGTCTGCTTTCAGACGTTGGGTTTCCACAGGCTCTTGCCCGCTTGAGTGAGCCTCCCCCCTGCAGTGACACCTTCAGCCACTAGAGGCAGGCTTCCCTAGCCAACACCTCACCTTGCAGCTCATACCATTCAAAAGGGGGGGGGGGGGGCGGCTGAGCAAAAGTTGTATGTGTGCACTTTCCTCCCCCCATCTCCTCAGATTAATAGAATGGACTGTTTGGCCCTGCCAGGGAATCTCGAAATATTAGATGGGGGAATGTATGCTTGGATTCACAGGGAGATGGGTTTCATTACGAACCTCCACAGTTTATTTGATTGAGCACTCAGGTACCCTCTGCAGAGGCAAACCTTATGAACAACGCTGCCAGGTAGAGGTTGAGACCAGCTACAAGCTTTCAGAACATACACAGAGTGTTTTATAGGTTGTTAGTCACATGACATGCCAGCTGAGTAGGGGATGAGGAAATAAGGGGAACACAGTGAGAGATCTGCAGAGGAGACTTAATACAATGGCCTTGATTACAAGGGATTAACATAACAATCACTGAGGCACAGGGATTATGGTGGCTCTTGGCATGCGAATGAGGGTGATTGCAGTACTGCTAGAAAAGCTTGTCTGGCTACCTTATCAGTTTTGTTTGCTGTTAGCCCAAGACTAGCCAGGGGTTGACTTTCCTTGGAAGCCCCATCCTGCCGAGGCTTTTCCAACCGAAGGGAGTCGCCATCTCTTAAAGGAACAGCTTGAAAATAATGCTAAACAGAAGCCTGCCCTGGGATTCTGCCACTTCCTGAGAAAGAGGCTCAGAAATGCTGCAGGTGAGAGCTTATAACACAAAGGCACATGGAAGCAACCTCCTTCTACCAGGATTTTCCTGAATTTCCCCAACAGCCCCATGTTTTCCTTTCCTGATACTTTTTTTTTTAAAAAGAGCATTGTGGAGTTTTATTGTATCCAGATGAGTGACCACATGTGGAAACAGAACAAGGGGTTGGACTTGATGGCCTTCTAGGCCCCTTCCAACTCTACTCCTGTTCTGTTTTTTTTTAATCTGCTTGCATAGCTATGCATCAAACTAGCAAGTGTCAGTACCAGAAAGAAAAAACACACAGTCAAATACGCTGGGAAGTAAAAAAACGAAATCTCGGGCTTCATTCGACTGGCCCCCAGAAACACACATGTGTGTGTCAGACTGTGAGAGAGAAAGCCACAAGAATCTGCAACTAGCTGATGGTCTGCCAGAAATTTCTCCATGTTACAATGAATAACAGAAAAGCATAAAAAATGCTTCATCCTGTCCCCATCCTGTTTTCTCCTGTAAACAAACCTTGCCACTAAGAGCTAGGGCTAGCTCAGGGGTCGGCAACCGCGGCTCCGGAGCCGCACGTGGCTCTTGAACCCCTCTGCTGCGGCTCCGTCACTCAAAACGTGCCAGCACAGCCGCTCTGCTCGAAGTTTCAGGAACACAGTTAAGTAAATCAGCTAATTAAGTAAAGTTAAGTAAATCGCTACATTCCTCTGCTGAACAAGCTTCTGCAGGCTCTCATGTTACAGAAGGCTGCTGAAAGGATTCTCTTTGTCCCAATGTGATCTCCTTCATCTGAATGTTAAAGTCACAATTCACAGCACTTGACTGTTTATCTGCTAATCAGTCACTAAACACACCTATATCTCTGGTGTTCTGAGGACCCTCTGTGGACCCTCCCGATTTACTGAGCCCCCCCCCCATAGGCCAACCATGGACAAATCGAAGAAAAGAAAAGTTTCTGATGAAAACCAAACGTTTAATGGTACGTGGGTAGATTCATTTGCTTTTACTGCTGATGAACTTACGGGGTTTGCTGGTTAATGCATGCAGCCCTTTAGCACTGACTTTGACTCTTCAGGAAGCTGTTCTCCTTTTCAAAATATATGAAAGGAATCCTACTAGTTTATAATGTAAGATTAAAAATAACAGTTTTAGTGACTGAAGAAGAGCAGCAGCTCAATCATAATGAAGATATACGTAGCATTAAGGTAAAAAGCGATATATGCTGTGTTATCTTCATTTTAGATGTCAAAAGGGTTTTGCGGCTCCCGGTGTTTTCTTTTGTGTGGGGAACGGGTCCAAATGGCTCTTTGAGTGTTAAAGGTTGCCACCCCTGGTCTAGCTAATCTCAGGAGCCGAATTTACAGAATTTAGGCAGAGCAGTGGTTCTCTGCTCTGAAGCATTGAGCCACAGACAAGCTTCTGCCTTCAGTTCTCCGCTTCTTCTGTACTGTTTCTGATTTAATGTCCTTCCTGTTGCTTATTCCTGACACATGTTGAATCACCTTTGCTAAGCTGGAAAGGCGGCGGTCTGCAGCTGGAAGGGTGACCACACGTGGAAGCGGAGGGGGTTGGACTCGATGGCCTTCTCGGCCCCTTCCAACTCTACCAGTCTTCTGTTCTGTTGATGAAAATTTGTAAGAGGGCCAGGAAGAGGACCAAAAAGAATTCATCTGTTCTTAATTTTTTTCCAAGATGTATTGGTGTTATCCAAACCTGATCTCATCAGCTGGTTGGAAAAAGGAGGAGATAAATTTGTGGAAGATTCGTGTTTCTTTGACTCTGCAGAAGGGGAGAGATTGGCAGGTAGGTGCTTAGGGATTTGGTTATAGTATTTATATAGTGCCGTGTACCTAAGCAGCTTCTAGAGCAAATAACCCCAATGAAAGAATTACAAATGGGGTAAAAACAGACTTTCATTGAAACTGTGGCTGTGCAGCAAGAAGGCTTCCCGAACAAAGATGTGCTCAGCAGGTGCTGAAAATAATGCGGTGTTGAAGCCTTCCCAGCCTCCTGAGGTGAGGAGTTCCACAAAATGGGCCCACCACCCTGAAGGCTCTGCTCCTGGTGGACTCCAGTCAGACCATGTCAGTGCAGAAGCACCTGGAGAAAGTCTCTGCCGCTGCTACTGCTTCTCCAGGCTGGAATTGGATCCTTCCTCCCCTCAGGGAGGCTGTTATAAACAAAAGCCCAATAAAGAAGAGAAGGGTCAAGCATGTTTCTAGTCCTCAACACATGGCTCTTTCCTTTCTTCCAGCCAGGGGTGAATCTAGGTTTGTGGACTAGGCTGTGTTTCTTGGGAGGAAAACCAGACTGGTTCTTTTGAGCATGTCTGGCCAAAACACTGTAGTGATTGAGGTTGACCACCATTCTTGGATTCTGAGGAAGGAGGAGGAGGCCTTGAAGAAGTGGAAATAGGAGTTGTGGGAACCCAGGGAGCAGCCCAGCCCTTGGAAACACCTCCAAGGCCATGGCCCACAGGGTCCCAGGCTGACCAGGAGAGCAAGGATGTTTTGGAAAGGACTGGGAGGGGTGAAGGGACAGCTACTGCCTTTTTTATTCATTTTTATTTGTTTATTTAAAACTTTTATATACTGTCCCATCACTGACCTCTCGGGACGGTTCACAACAACAGCAGTACAATAAGATAAAGAAATAAAAGCAGTTCAGTGTCCAATAATAAATATAAAAACCACAAATTAAGGCAATTAACAATCAAAATAGTGGGGAAATAAAAAGGGTTTCACCTGGTACTGAGATGAAAAAAGCGTTGGCACCAGGCGGACCTCTCTGGGGTGTGCATTCCACAGCCAGGGCGCCACTGCAGAGAAGGCCCTCCTCCAGGTGCTCACTCTCCTAACCTCCTTCAAGGACGGTTCCCAGGGCAGGGCCTCTGCCTCAGTTCTCATGGGGCGGGAGGGCGCATGGGGAAGAAGGTGTTCCTTCAGGTATCCTGGACCCTAGCCATTTAGGGCTTTAAAGGTCATCACCTGCACCTTAAATTGGGCCTGGACTTCAATTGGCAGCCCGTGTAAGCGACAGAGGACCGGTGTTATATGTGAATACCTGCCGGTCCATGTTAATATCCTGGCAGCTCCATTCTGAACCAACTGAAGTATCTGGACCGGATTGCCTTGCCTGGTCTGTGATCCCAGGACGAGGTGCTGGGAAAGATAAGCTTCCCAGTTAGAGGACTTGCACAGGTCTTGCCAACTGGCCCTTCACCAGCCGGAGCCACGCAAGGAGTCCCAGAGATAATGAAAGGGGAGGATTTGGGGGCGAAGTGCCCAGTTCAGGCTCAACTTTCTTGGCATAAGCAGACGCTTATCTTCCAACTCTTTGGAGCACCCTCTAGAGCAGTGGTGGCGAACCTATGGCACGCATAGGTGCCATAGGTAGCAGAGCCCTCTCTGTCGGCACGCGAGCCAAGTCCCCCCGCATCGCCGCAGCAGCTGAGTATTGGAAAACAGCGCACACAGGGGCCATGCGCATGCTCAGAAAGGAGTAGCGGCGCCAGGTGAAGACATCAGGAGCTGTGACTCCTTAGCTGCAACTCATCTGAGCTTTCACATGACCAGTCAGTGCACTGCTAAGGAGAAAGAGAGAGAGAGAGATTTGCTTGGACTGGCTGTGAGTTGTTTTTTCTAAACTAAAACCTCAGTTTTCAGGTTTTATTGCAGTGTTGGCACTTTGTGATAAATAAGTGGGTTTTAGGTTGCAGTTTGGGCACTCGGTCTCTAAAAGGTTCGCCGTCACTGCTCTAGAGTTACTTTGCCTTGCAGCTGCAAAGCGACAATAAATATCTGCATTGCAAAGAGACTGCCTGGTGTTTCAGAAGCAAAGGGCAGGGAGGGGAGGGCCAAATAGGTAGGCCTGCCAAACCTTTAAACTCTCACATAAGGGCATCCAGCAGTGGTGCAGGTGAAACTTATTGCTGGCTTCCAAAATGGACCAACCTGCCTCTCCGAGGGGCAGGATGGCACAGCAGATTAATGATGCTGGAACTACCCGCCAGAAACGGTCGGCACTCCGGCGGTTCGAGCCCGGCCCCGCGAGACGGAGTGAATCTCCATGGCCTGCCCTAGCTTGTGCCCCCCTAGCAGTTTGAAAGCATTCCAACTTGCGAGTAGATAAATAGAGTCCGCCATTCTTTGGTGGGAAGAGTTGATTGCGTTCGTGTGGAAGCAAGAACCAGCGCTGGAACGACGTGGACACACCCCATGGAAGAATCAGTGGAGGAAAGCCCCAGATGAGCGGGCGTCCTCAAGAGCACTGTTGTCCAGCCGGTGTGAAGCTAGATTGTCACCCGCCCCCTGCCCCGCACCCGCCCCCAGTGCAAGAAGACTATCAACTGTTGGCTGCCAGAACATCTTCTGTGTGTAAAAAATTGGTCATATAACCCAGGCCATATATGCCATATGCTAAATAAATAATAACTGCTAGAAAGGTAGGGAGCCAATCAATCAATCAATCGATTGATCAATCTTCCCTTTGCCTTCCTACTACACCCATTGCTTGGTCTCTGTTGTTCTCCTCACAGTATCAGACCCATCATGGCTCCTGTTCCATCCATGTACTGTTCCGCCTAATCTCTGGTTTTAAGTTCTTACGCACCCACTTAGTAAATTTCTCTTTTCTTGCAGGAAGCAATATGGAGGGTGAGGACAACGCTGAGCAATCTCAGACATGGACAGAAAGAGATGAATATGAAAGAAAGAGAACAAGAAAGAAAACAGGGAGGAAAGCATCCAGTGGTTGTCAGGACACCACGGTGCATAAAATTATATGCTCAGAAGAAAAAGCAGAGGGTGAAAGCTTCTACCACAACACAAACTTTAATATACCATCAAGGATTCCTACAGCAGAGAAACACTCTCCTTGTCTTCACTGTAGAGAGAACTTTGGGAATAAATCAGCCTTTAAGAGACAGCAAAGAACCCAAACAGAGGAGAAACCCTACCTGTGCCTGGAGTGTGGAAAGAGCTTCTGTAGGAGTGCAAGTTTTATTGGACATCAGAGGATACATGCAGGAGAGAAACCATATCCATGCTTTGTGTGCAGAAAGAGTTTCACTGAAAATGGAAGTCTTCTTAGACATCAAAGAACTCATACAGGGGAGAGACCATACATGTGCTTGGTGTGCAGAAAGACCTTCAAGATGAAAGCACACCTTACTTCACATCAAAGAACTCATACAGGGGAGGAACCATATGAATGTTTTGAGTGTGGAAAGAGCTTCAGAGATGCTTCAAACCTTACTAGACATCAGAGAATTCACACTGGAGAAAAACCATATACCTGCTTGGACTGTGGAAAGAGCTTTAGTCAGAGCTCACATCTCACTTTCCATCAAAGAACTCACACAGGGGAAAAACCATATCACTGCCTGGAGTGTGGAAACTGCTTTAACCGGCGTGCACATCTTCACAGACATCAGAGAATTCACTCAAGGAAGAAGCCACCTTAATGCTTGGGGTGTGGACAGTTACGTACATCAGAAAATTCACACAGGATATAAAAGTGTTTTATTCAGTGATCCTCTGGATTCTGTATTCAATACATGGGTAGAACAGCTATTGACGAGTGCACATCCTTTAGCAACCATTCATCTGAAACCTTGATGAAAAAATCGAAACAATCATTTTCAACCCAGAGTTTCCATAACCACAGCCTCTCTGATTTTATAGTCATTGCAGCAGAGATGCCATCTGATCCATGAACACTGGACAAAAGAGACTTGACTCAGTCTAGAGGATAATATCCGATGTCGGTCGCATGCACACATTTTGGAATATTCCACCTTTGCTATTCCATAATTGCCAGCTTGCTTATAATACCCTTTTATTCCCATCAGAACAGCTGAAAAACAAGGAAATTGTAGCATTTTAATTTAAAATCTTAACATTGGTCACAACACGTTAAATATCTCTATCTACATCTTACTTAATTTCTTAGTGTTATTCAGATTGCATTTAGTATATCATACGGCCTTTGCTGGTATAAAGGAAGGGGACTTTTTGGAGGAACAAAGATAACTTCATCCACAACTAGTTGACAGATCTGTCTTACTATGTCACATGAAAGAATATTTACTATTGTTTGTGACCAGTTAGCAGGGAGGAACTCGGGCACTAAATGAACGGAGGCAAATTGATGTCCCACACTGAAGGGCTGAGGGGAGGTTGAATGTGGGTTGTCACTGAGCCATGAATTGCCTTTGAAATGTGTGAATTAATGTGTCATCCATGAACCCAGCTTTGCAAAACAAACCCTGGTTTGTTTTCTGTGAATAATCTATGATTTATTGTGGGGTTGTGAACTGTGGGTTCTTCATAGCAAACAAACCATGCTTTGTTAGCATGGCTGGGTTCGGACAACCCAACAACCCACCTGTCAACAATCCACTCTCAACCATGCTCAATGCTTGAGTGTGGGTTTTAATGCTGTCTGTACCCAATCGATGAGAAAAATCAAGTAGAGGCTGGATACTTGATCCTTTTCTTTGGGATTCTTCCTTCACAACTAAGGGTGGATCCAGATATGAGGTGGATCAACTGCACAGGTGGAAGTGAACTTCTCCAGCCCTCCTTTCCATGGCAGCCTCTCCAGCCCCTGAAAATGCTACATAGCCAGGAGACAGAGCCAAATGGACTGAACTGGAAAGTGCTTGCTAGAGGGGGGAACCCCAGTAATTGGGTGCAAGGATAAATACTGTGATACCTTGGCTCATGAACTTAATCTGTTCCAGGACTCTGGTCTTGACCCAAATTGGTCATGAGCCAAGTTAAATTTCCCCATAAGGTTCAGTGTAAATAAGATTAATCCGTTCTGTAACTATTTTTTTTTTAATCAGAAAAATGTGAAGCAAAGTGACAAGAACAAAGATCGCGGCCATCTTTCCCCCAACCCCGAGCACAAGCAGGACCATCTCTCCCCGCCCCCAGCACAACCACAATCACACCCATCATCCCTGCATGCACCTGTCATCCCAGCACGATCGCGGGTGCGCTCTTGGGGGGAGACAGGCGCAATCGTGCTGGTGGGGAAGAGGCCGAGTGCTGTTGCGCTCGTGCAGGAAAGACGGGCGCGATCTCGGCCATCACCCCACCGCCTGCCCCAGCACGATCGCAGCCATCTCCCCACTTGGGGTGGGGGGGAGATGGCCATGATAGCGGTCACCACTCAATGCAGAGTTTGCGACCTGAGTCAAAATGTTTATGTAATTTTTGTTTGCGACCCGATTTGGTGGTGAACTGAGGCGTTCGCGAGCCGAGGTACCACTGTATTTAAAATATTTATATATCATCCCTAATCCATATAGGATCTCAGGATGGTTTACCAAATGACAAGAAAATAACCACAAAATCCACAGCAGCACATAGAATACAATATATAGTGTATAACATATACTGTATAATAATATCCTTTGAGCTATTATACTGAGTAAATAAAAAGGTTTTATCCTGCACTGAAATGAATAAAGGGTCAGTGCGGGCATGCCTTTCTGGGGAGCAGATTCTGCAACTGGGGGGCTGCCACTGAAAAAGCCCTTTCCCTGTAAGGTAAAGGTAAAGGTAAAGGTTTCCCCTTGATGTTAAGTCCAGCCATGCCTGACTCTAGGGGACGGTGCTCATCTCCGTTTCCTGGCCGAGGGAGCCAGCGCTTGTCCGCAGACGGTCTCCGTGGTCATGTGGCCGGCATGACTAAACACTGAAGTGCACAGAACGGTTACCTGCCCACCAAAGTGGTACCTTTTTATCTACCTGCATTTGCATGCTTTCGAACTATTTATTTATTATTTTTATAAACTCTTCTTTAATGAATGCTCTCAGATGGAACCTTTCATCTTATGAAAGACAGATCCTGGATCCAATCCTAGCTGCTTAAATAATACTTTGCAAGATTATTTGCATTCGTGACTGAAACCCTAATGTTGGCTTTATTAGGGTTAGTCAGCTTGAGCACTGGAGAGGCAGTGTGCTATAGTGGTTAGAGCACTGGACTGGCACTTGGGAGCTCCAGATTCTAGTCCCCATGAAGGCCTGAAGCACAGTGGTGACTTTGGTCCAGTCACTTGCTCTCAGTGCAACCTACCTCACAAGGTTCTTGTTATGAGGGTACAAGGGAGAGGAGGAAAATCTTGCAAGCTGCTTTGGATTCCTCGCAAGAGGAAGGAAAGTGGAGTATAAATGCAATGTAGTAATAAAAATAACAATAACCAGAAACTTTTCTGGAACGTATTAATATGCAAATGAATAAAAGAAGGTTAACAAGGTTGTGAGAATCAGATCATTTATTTATTGATTGATTTTTCAATTTATATCCTGCCTTTTTCCTACAAAGGGCTCAAGGCACCTTACATCATTCTCCTCCTCCATCTTATCCCCATAACAGCCCTGTGAGGTAGGCTGGGCTGAGAATCTGTGACTGGCCCAAAGTCTCCCAGTTGGCTCCATGGCTGAGCGGGGACCAGAACCCGGATCGTCTGAGTCCCAGTCCCACACTCTTAACCACTACACCACACTGCCTCTCCAGATCAAGATCATCACTTGATCCCTTGTCAGCCACAGAAACTGTTCGACAGGGCAGGACATTGGACTGGTTCACACCTACAAGGAAGTCATCAGGGCCAATTTTCCTGTGAAGATTTGATGTTTGCGTGAACCCAGCAATCGGTGGTGGGGGGGTGCTGGGGTGGTCGTCAGATCACCCAGAACCCTGAAACTGCCCGGCTTCAGGCCGGTGGGCAAACAAGGTCCCCTCACCTGGTCCTTGTGGAAGAAGGCCTGGATTACCAGCCTGTGGGTCTCACAAGCCACCCTGGCTAACAAGCCACGGTGGGCAAGGCGATGGTGCAGACCAGGGCAGGGTCAGCAAAGAGGGTGGCTGTTTCCCATGACCATGTTTTGTGCCCTGTCTGTTATGGAGCACACTGTTATGGTCACTTCCCCATTTAAGAGGCCGGTGTTATCTCAATCTCCCTCTCCCCACTCCATGTGGGGTTGTTTTTTATTATTTATTTATTTATTAAACCATTTCTATGCCGCCCCATTTGCCGAAGGCTCGGGGCGGCTCACAACATAAAGTGTAAAGTCTATGTCCTTTTTTTTGAGTCTCTTTAGCACAGTCTCAAGAAGAAAATGTTTGGGTTGCTGAAATCAATCCAACCAATGCAAAAAATGCACACAAAAGAAATCCTTTGTTGAACCGGTGTTGCACGAACCTGCTGCTTGCCTAGGCTAAAGAGAAACGTGCTTTCTGCTGGACGATGAGAACTGTTTTACAGAATTTCTTATTACAGAGATGATACTCTCCCACATCGATACAAAATGCACCAACCCATTGTTAACACAAACAAACATACGAGTGCTTATGTTCATGGAAAGAAGTTTTGAGAACTTGCCATTTTAGCTGCCCACATCCTGGGGCTGGCAAATGGGCTCAGTCCCCAGCAAACATTAGGCTTTTATTGAAACATCATTTTAAGTGTTAAAATATATGATCTGGCCAGGGCAACTACTTCTTCCTTCTCTTTGCTCCTCCTATATTCTTTATTTACTTATTTTATACTGTTAATTTTAATTTTATATTATTGTATCTCAGTGTATTTTTTGTATTTTTGTATTTAGTGGTAATTTATTATGTTCTATTTTATTTCAATGTATCTTATTGTGTTGTAAGCCGCCCCGAGGCTTCGGCAAGGGGCAGCATAGAAATGTTATAATAATAATAATAATAATAATAATAATAATAATAATAATACTGTGAGAAAATTTTTTTTAGCACCAACAGTAACAACAGTAACAACAATATCACTATCATTATCATTAATATTTGGCAACATTGCAAAAGGAAAAAAAGGAAACAAAACTTTGTTGAACTCAAAAGGGAAAAGTAGCCCGGAGGGCTAAAACAATGCACAGAAAGACGGAACCGTCTGGATGCAGGATGCATCCCACCCAGGATGGCGACTGCTTGCAAACAACAGAAATGCTTTCACATGGGATGGCACCAATGCCACCGTTCCGTCCGCCACCACAAGATGCCACCAATGTTGACTGCTTTACATGAGAGCAAGTCAGAATTTTTATCAGGCTCTTCCAACTTGGTTTTCCCCAGATGCCTTGGGCAATAATTCCCAACATTCCTCACCAGAGGCCAAGCTCTCTGGGGCTGATGGGAGTAGTGGTCCAAAACACCAGGGGGAGCATTTTTGTTTGCCTATGAAAGCCACTGTCGGGGCTCTGTGGCCATTCTAGAGTTAGACTACAACATCCATCTGTCCCAGCCAATGGAGAGGAAGGATAGGAGTTTATCTGGAGAGGCACACATTCCTCATCTCGGCTGTGTAAAGCTTAAGTCTGTTCAAATGTCCCATTGATTAATCATAAGAACCTAAAATAAAAAATACCTGAAGAGATGCCCTCCATTAACCAGGCAAGACATTCAACATGTTTAAAATTTACTTTGAATACACTTACTTAAAAATGCAGATGGTGAGCCATATTTTCATTTTTAAGTTGTAAAATCAAACATTTTCAATTTAATTTTTCAGTTTTAAAATATGAATTGCAATGCAATTGCTTACAAATGCAACACATTCCATAGTTCAAGTGTAAACTGGGTGAAGGACTTCCTTTTATCCATCCTTAAACCTCCCACCGGTCTGCTTCATGGGATGACCCCGGGTTCAAGCAATAGGGGAGAGGCAGAAAATCTCTCTTTCTCCACACCAAGCATTATTTTAAACACTTCCACCCTGCCTCCTTTTACTCAACGTTTTTCTAAGCTGTACATTCCCTGTCGTTGTAGCAGCTCCTCAGAGGGGAGCTTCTGTAAGCATCGATCATTTTTCTTGCCCTTCTCTGCATTTTTTCCAACTCGATCATGTCCCTTTTTAGGGAAGCCAACCAGAGCTGAAGACAATATTCCAGGTATGGTTGCACCAAGATTTTGTATGAGAGAAGTAAGATCCTGCCAGTTCCGTTCCCGATTATGCGTAGGATTCTTTAAGTATGAAAACTGTCTGCCTTTCCAGTTGCTATTCCTCAGAGGCAATCATGAAACTGACGAGTTGGGTAAGGAAGGAGTCCAAGACGTGCTCAGCTGGGCGTGTGTCCCGCTGAACCCAATGGGGCTTGCTTACGTACATGACTGTACTGCAGAACCCGTAAAAGGGGCAGTTCTGTGGGTTCCCCAAAGGAGGACAGAAGAGTTTGTTTGTTTGTTTGTTGGTTTGTTTGTTTGTTTATTTATTTATTTATTTATTTATTTATTTATTTATTTAAAACATTTCTAAGCCGCCCCATTCGCCGAAGCCTCGGGGCGGCTCACGACATAAATTAAAATATAATACATTCAAAATATAAAACAAATTAACAGTATAAAATAAGTCGCCCTGGCCAGATAAAATAAGCAAATAATATTAACAATTAAAACGACGTTGAAATAAAAAGGTTCGGATTCTCAGCTCGCGAGCCGGAGACTGCCAATTGTGGAGCTCAGAATCGGAGCTCCAAACTCCCTTACCCCTTGCAACCAGCGCAGAAAGCACTGGCTACACTCCGAGGTTGGAAAAGCGACCTTGCAGAAAAGGGGGTGCGGTGGGGGGGCAGGGTGGAGAGGCCAGGGCACAGATTCTCCCTCTGCTACCTTCCAGCCACCTCTCTCGGATGTTGTTGTTAGTTGCGAAGTCGCTTCTGACCCATTGTGACCCCATGGACAACATTCCTCCAGGCCTTCCTGTCCTCCACCATCCCCCAGAGTCCACCCAAGCTCACACCCACTGCCCCAGTGACTCCTTCCAGCCACCTCAACCTCTGCCGTCCCCTTCTTCTTTTGCCATCTATCATTCCCAGCATTGGGCAGCCCTGTCTAATTTTTCTGCATCCTTCTTAAATCTTGGCAGCCAGAACTGGACATGCCTATCTGCCGTTTGTGGTCAGACTTGCAGGGGGGTTCCTGCTGGGGGTCTGGGCCCAACCTCTTTTCTGGTCCGCTGGCTGGCAGCTGCACCCTCCCTGAAGCAAGGCATGGAAATCTCACTCCAGGGCAGTTGTGGGGCTGCCTCTTCCAAGTGAGGGGTCTGCAGGGTCTTGAGGAACCACAGCCACCAGGCTTCCCACTGGTGCAACAACAGCTCTTCTCCTGGTCCTTGTTTAATGCGTTCTGGCTCTGTCCAGCTCAACGGCTGGCCGAGCATCTCCATCTGGGCGGCAGGAGAGGCATCCCCTGGACCTTCCCGTCCTGTCTCCTGTATCTCCAGCCTCTCCATCTTGAACTCCAGCTTAACATCCTTCTGGAGTGCCACCTGGAGCTGGAGATTCTGGGTTGTCGGGGCTTCTGCCTTCTGTTTTGCAGCCACGTTCACTCACAGGGTTAGCTCAGCTCCCTCTGTCCTCTTCTGCAGGTGTGATGAAAAGGTCTGTCGACAGCCTAATGTTGTGCCTGAAGTTCCATCTCCACGCGGCTCCTTGCGATGACAGTCGGAGAAGGAAGGCTGCCTCTCCAGGATCTCATCCGCAAGGGAGCCTGTGTGGGACGTGGCAGCTTTTCCCAACAGCTGACAAAACACTTCGCACTAAAGGAACAGGAACAAGAGGCAATGAGGCACCGCGCTGCTGAGCTGCCAAGTTTATCTGGAGCTTAAAAAGATCCTTGCTGGATCAAACTAAGGTCCACCTAATCCTGACACTGCCAGCCAGGTGTCCCTGAAAAGAACCCGCAGTGAAGCAGCCACGCTTGCTAAAGACATCAAGCTATTCCAGGTGGAAATTCCCGAAAGGGAAAGCTCCGAAGGGATCCCTCCAAGCTGAGGGAACGGGCATCGAAATGGCAACTGCAGTTCCGCCTAAGCCAGAGGAGAGCAAGGCACGTGGGGGCGAAGGGGGGAGTCCCAGCTTCAGGTATGGGCTGATGGGCTCTGAGCTAGCAAGAAAGATCTGGGAGGGAGCGGGGTGGGCAGAGTGATGAAAGGGTCAGGCTGGCGCTCAGCTGGCACGGAAGAGGCAGGCTCCGTCTCAGGCACAATGAGGAACGGAAGCCATCCAGAGACTTTTCGTCTTGGGACAGCATATAGAAACTTTAAACAGAATAAATAAGAGAGAGAGAGAGAGAGAGAGAGAGAGAGAGAGAGAGAGAGAGAAAATAGAAAATAGGTGTGCCAAGCTCCCAGCCTCCTCCTGCAATGCTTTGGTGCAGCTGTACTGAGAATATTGCGAACGGTTCCAACGGCCTTGCCGACAAAGGACACTGTGGATGGAAAAGGGGGATGGAAATGATCGGGGGCTGGAGCAGCTCCCCGAAGAGGAATGGCTGCATCTGTTGAGACTGCTTATCTAGGGAAAAGGTGAGGGAGGGGAGGGGAGACATGATGGAGGTGTTTAATTTATTTATTTTTCGATTTATATCCTGCCTTTTTCCTACAAAGGCAGCTTACATCATTCTCCTCCTCCATCTTATCCCCACAACAACAACCCTGTGAGGTAGGCTGGGCTGAGCGTCTGTGACTGGCCCAAAGTCACCCAGTTGGCTCCATGGCTGAGTGGGAACGAGAACCCGGATCGTCTGAGTCCCAGTCCCACGCTCTTCACCACGACACCACACTGGCTTAATATAGCTGTGCTGGAGAGGGCCAGAAAATCTCCTGAATTTGGTCCTTTAAGGGGGATGCGATAGGGGCTCCTTGAGAGTCCAGAGCTGTTACTTGAGGCACAAGTGGACTTAGTGTCATGGAGCAGCTTTTATCAGCTTAACTATGACCCTGCCTGGACAGAGAGAGCCGAGAGAGGGTCATCCACGCTTTGGTAACCTCCTGTTTGGATTACTGCAGCGAGTGGTATGTGAGGCTGACTTTGCAAACAGTCGGAAACATCAACTGATTCAAAACGGGCAGCAGGACTGTGGATGGGGACTGGCTCATGAGAAAAACATCGTGCCAGCCCACTTCCAGCTGCACTGGCTGCCGGTGACGTCTGGATCTGATTCAAAGTGCTAATATTAACATCCGAATCCCTAAATTACGTGGGGCTTCCCTTGAAGACGGTCCAGATACTTCAATTGGTTCAAAATAGAGCTGCCAGGCTGCTGACGGGGACGGGGCGTTATGCTCACATGACTCCAGTCCTCCGTCAGCTTCACTGGCTTCCCATTGAAGCCCGGGCCCAATTCAAGGTGTTGGTGATGACCTATAAAGCCCTAAACGGCTTGGGTCCTGGTTACCTGAAGGAGCGCTTACATCCATATATGCCCAGCCGCCCCTTGAGATCAGCGGGAGAGGCCCTTCTCCGGGAACCCTCCGTGAAGGAAATTAGGAGGGTTGGTACTCGGAGGAGGGCTTTCTCTGCGGTGGCGCCCGATCTATGGAATGCGCTCCCCAGAGAGGTCCGCCTGGCGCTGTCGTTACTTGTTTTTCAGTGCCAGGTGAAGACCTTTTTATTTAAACGTCACTTTAATTGTTAACAATATTTGCTTATTTATCTGGCCAGGGTGACTTCTTTTATATTTTATATTTTTATTTATTTCATATTGTTAATTTTAATTTTATATTGTTATTTTTGTATTTTATTGTATTTTATTGTGTTTGTAAGCCGCCCCGAGGCTTCGGCAAGGGGCAGCATAGAAATGTTCTAATAATAATAATAATAATAATAAATGGGTTGGGGCCGGGTTATCTGAAGGAATGTGTTATGCCATATGTACCTGCCTGGAGCCCAAGGTCTTCTTTGGGGGTCCTTCTCCGGGAGCCCCTTCCAAAGGAAGTGAGGCAGGCGGCTACCAGGAGGAGGGCCTTTTCAGTTGTGGCACCCCAATTTTGGAATGAGCTCCTCAAAGAGGCGTGTTTGGTGCCTATGCTGTCAACTATTTGGCACCAAGACCTGTTTTATTCTCCCAGCATTTCAGCAGTTTAATTTTTTTTAACTTCATTTTTCAATATTGCGTTTTATTCTGTACCACTGCTCTGCTTCCATGTCGATTCAGTTGCAATTGCTACTGTAGTTTTGTTGCTTTGCATCAATTTTATGCAAGTCTGTGCACACGATTTAAAATTTTCTTAACTTTTGTGAACCACCCAAAGAGCCTTGGCTACCGGGTGGCATAAAAATGAAATAAATAAATAAAGCTTCAGCACAACCTTGTGAGGTAGGTCAACATTACCATATGATTTGGGACAGGCTGGTTTGAAGGCTGTGATTGCAAAGCACAGAGTGATCAGTGTAAAGGGATGCACACTCGGTCACGCACAATGTACACATGCAAAATACACACATATGTGTACATACATGTTGGTGTGTTTGTGTATTTTATACATAAAATACTATTATTTAATTTTGTAAACCATCATGAGATTCCTGGAATAAATGCCATTATAGAAAATGTTTAAAATAAATAGATAAATTTATCTGATATAAGTGTGGTGATTCGAATATTGGACTGGTGATCCAGGAGACTGGAGTTCTAGCCCCCACTCAGCCACGAAACTCACTAGGTAACTTTGGGCTGGTCACTTCCTTTCAACCCTTCCTATCTCACAGGGATGTTGTGTTGTGAGGATAAGATGGAGCTGTTTAAGCTGCCTTTGGGTTGCTCACAAGAGGAAAAGGGCTAGGATGTAAATGCAATGCAACTGTGCGTTGTTTTTCTTTACTTTTATTTTATTTTTTACGGTGCAATCTTGCACATTGTTCAAAATCAAGCCACATTACTCCTGCATAAATCATTGAAGATACTGATATTGTGAAAGACTTTATAAACCTCTGCTCAGTCGTCAATTGAAAGGGAGGCTGCAGCCAAGGAATTCGAGGAAGACTTGGAAGGGCAGCAGTTAAGAAACTTGAAAAGATCCTACTGTCTTTTAATTTTTAACTGTTAACTGTCTGTTAACTGGAGATCAAGGCCAAGATCATCCACACTATTGTCATCCCAAACCCACTATTTAGGGGAGTAAACACGGATGCCTTAGAAACTTGGTCCAGTAGGAGAGCTTTGTGAATATCCCATACTGATAGAAAGACAACCAAGTGGGTCCTGGATCAAATTAAGCCAGCGCTTTTCCTAAGCAAAAATGAAGCAAAAATTGACGAACTGGCGCAATCGCAATTGGGAGACATCACGGGAGGGCCAAGACTCCCTGGAGAAGACAATCTCGCGAGGGAAAGTCGAAGGCAGAAGTAGGGAAGGAAGACCAAGGACGAGGCGGATCAAGTGCAGAAAGTAAGTCTGGAGTTTGTGAGAGCTGAGCAGGCTGACGTGGCTGGGACATCGTGGGGCGCTCTCATTCTTGGGGTCAGCCTAAATCGGGGGTGACTTCAAGGCCAGTAGCGACATAGCAATGCCTATGCATTGGCTTGCAACCTTACAATCGCTACCTTTTCTCCCAATGGATGAAATGCATTATTATTATTATTATTATTATTATTATTATTATTATTATTATTATTATTACATTTCTATGTCGCCCCTTGCCGAAGCCTCAGGGCGGCTTACAACACAATAAGATACATTGAAATACAATAGAACATAATAAATTACCAATAAATGCATACCAATGCAGGAAAGATTACCCGACCCCTCTGCCGCAACAAGCCTCGCCGCCAATGAGCGCGCCGATTAAATAAGCATCCCTTGATTTGGAATCCTCCCGCTGCTTTGTGCCGGGGATGCGGAGAAAGAGAGCCGCCTCGCGAGCGCCCTCCCAAGGGTTAAAGGCACCGAGCCCGCACTCCTAGAGGGGCGCCCAGGGAAAAGGAGGCGTGGCCGCGAGGCCGCTTCCGGCAGCGGCCCCATCCCTCCCTCCCCCCTCCCTCCCCCCAGGGAAGCCGCCTTCGCGGAGCGCCGGCCGAGCTGCGGTGCCGCTGCCTCCGCGGCTGCGGGAGGCGGACGCGGTGAGCCTGGACGGGGCCGGGCGGAGCGGAGGCCGCCGCGCAAAGCAGCGCCCAAGCCGCGGGCCGGGCCGGGCGCCCGGGTGGGGGGCGGGCGGCGGGGGAGAAGCAACAAAGACCGGCCGCCTGCACGCCGCACGCCCCTCCCGGGCTTCCCCCGCAGCCGCTGCCCGCGCCGCCCGCAGAGCCGGGGGCCGTGCAGCCGGCGGATGCGGTGGTGCCTCGGCGCCGGTGCAGCGCGGGCCGGGCCCCGCAAGCCGAGGGCGGCCCTTTCCTCCCAGCCGTGTCCCCCTTAGGGAGCAGCGGGCGCCCGCTCGCGTGCTCTCCTGGCAGTCGTGGTGGGGGCTTTATTGCAGGGAACTTAGAAGGCACTCTGCACACGCGCAGAGTGCACCAGGTTGGGGTGCATGGCTGCTGGAACCCGCCCAGAGGCGGTGTGGGAATAAAATCGATGAGAAGTTGAAGGGCGTGTGCTGCAAATCCCCGAGGGGGCTTCGGTTATTGGGTGGGATGGACATGAATTCGGTTATAAAAACATTGACATGCATATATGTCTGTAGATACGTATGCTGGGAACTGTTCAGAGATCATTGCTTTACTGGGCAGTACAGAAGTGAAATTTATAAATACATGGATGGGTACATAGATGATATTTAAATTAGGGTTGGCAGGTATTCCCAGGGATCAGGGATGTGGAAGCAGTTGTGAAGCATGGATTGGCAGGGCAGGGAGAGAGAATTTTGGCTGTGCCTTTAAAGTCATACACAAGGCTGGGTAAAAGTACTCCCTCCCTCATAAAATCATCCAATTCTTGGTCTAAAATGACCCAGCTGCATCAGGGATGGGCTTCTGTGCGCTGAGAATTAAGGACAGGGGTGTTCTTGTTCACACGGTGTGAGTGGAAGAGCTTGATTTTGGGCCTAGAAGTGTGTGTATGATCCATTCCCACAGCTCATCATCAGCTGTTAAAAAGTATATTTTGTCTGCTTTTTGGCGCTGTACCATGGGGGTCTTTTTTGTATTCTATGGTATTTTGGTAATTTTAGAATCATGCTGTTCTTGTATTATTTTATTTGGGTTGTTACAACCATGGACACAACCATAGACTCCTTTGTGAAAATGGCAGGATGGATGTCTAGAAAGTCGATTCATGTCTAGGATCGGATCCAGGATCTGCCTTCCTGACAGAAGGGCTCTATACATGGAAAGTGTATCTGCTAAGTTTTGCTTCTGTGCCATGGTCGTAGTTTTTCCCAGGGGGCTGCAGATACTGCTGGAAAGTCTGATTCTGCTTTCCCAGTAGCACATGCCTCAGTCTGGCCCCAGCCTTTGGTTTCCTGCATCCCAAGCTTCCTTCATTAGCATGGCAGATTCTGGATTCTGTTAAACTGTGAGGGTCAGAAATGCTGGCCAACCTCTTGCAAATCACTGTGAGGTCTAGCAAGTGATTTGATCTGCTTCTGCCACCCCATTCTTGAGTCGCGTTTCCTAGCTGCCTCCTTAGAGAAATTGACAGCTGGTAAAGGGAAGATGGAACTGAGTTGGGATTAGAAATGATTGCTGAGTTAGAGTTAGAGGGCTCCTCTTGCAGGAAGGCTGTTCAGCTGATTTTTGACTGTACCCACACGAAACATCCCCCTCTTCACCTGAGTTCCTTGCCCCTCTTTGTAGTATTTTCTGGGGCATGAAAGCAGAGAAGCTGTATGGGAAAGAGGAGGCAGGCAGTCCATTTCTGCCAGTGCAATGCACCCAGCATCAAACTAAGCCATCCAGAAACTTTTAGTAACTGGATGGCATAGAAAAACTTTAAATAAATAAATAAATGATGTGACTCACTACATTTTTGACATGCAGCTCCCTTCATCCTGCTATCCTGGCTAGGTCTGATGGGAATGGTCGGCCGAGAGCTTCGGGGGCGGGGGGGGGGGGGCAGAGGTTGCTTATCCCTGCACATCTCAGAAGTGAGGACATGCCCTGCTGTGTCAGACGAAAGGCCTCCGTAGCCCAGCGTTCTGTTCCCGTCGTGGCCAAGCAGATGCCTCCCACAGGCAGGATGTAACCCAGTAGCGCCCTCCCGCTTCTGTGCTTAGCGGCTGGTGTCCATTGGCCTCCTGTTACTGGGGGTAGCATGTAGCCATCTGGACTACTGGCCACTGAGAGCAAGCTCCTCCATGAATTTGTCCAATCCCCGAGTGGGCAGCCATCACTCCATCCTGTGGAAGTGAATTCTATAGTTTGAATGTCCTTCCTTGGATCTGTCCTGAATACCCCCCCCCCCCCCCGCCCCGTGATCCAATTCAAAGGATGACTTCTTGGGTTCTAGAATTACAAGACAGGGAGAAAAAGTCCGTCTGTTTCCCCCACATTCCTAATTGTGTCTGACCCCTCCAGCTTTTTTTGCTCTTTTCCAAATCTACAACATTGTACCGTTATAACCCTTCCTGGCTGAGGCGTTGCTCTAGTCGCTTGACTGATTTTGGTAGCCCTTTTCTGCTCCTTTTCTAGCCCTTCAGTGCCTTTATTAGTGCATGTCTGTTAGGAGATGCCCCACTTTTCATTCAGACAAATATTTGGCCTGCTGAGCAGTTGTGTTAATTTAATTACATTTATGAGTGGCTGGCATTTTATATGCTGTTATCTGACTTGAACTGGTGCTATTTATTTTAATCTCACTTACCATATCTTAACCACATCTTAAAGTAGTTTGCTATACAAGATTCCAATACAAACGCATTCAATTAAACATTAACCATGGTTGTGATCATGTTTATTTGCTATGCAGATTAATTCTGTTTTGTTGTAATTAATGCGATTGTTACCTGACTTGAGCATTTTTTATGGAAAGCTGAAGTCTATGGGAAATATATAGTTCAGTATTTAAAAACAATAGCAGCTGAGGCATTGTTCTTATCAGGCTTTTTCAAGTTTATCGATATCTCAGGCTTCTATAAGTAGAGCTAATTATAATTCTAATAATTAGAAACGGGGCTGGTTCAGAGGGTGGCACTTCAACCTGTTGTGTTTGCTTCCGTATTTTCTTCCTCTCTCCCACCTAGCCTGCTTCTTTGCAGAGCCTTCTGTCTTGTCTAACAAGAGACAGAGTCGTCACGATTCTCATTCCTTCCATTTTCCAAAGATTACAGGAGCAGAGACAACGGTGAAGATCTTACAGCAGGAAGGCACCATGTCCAAAGACGTACCAACGCCTTCTGCAGAACAACCCCACAACAGTTTTCCTTTCCAAGATGTGGTTGACCAATGTAAGTCCCATTCTAAATTAGAGAGAGACCTTACACTCTCAAAGAGGGTGAGGAGTATAGCTCCTCAGAATGCTTACTAGAAAAATGGGGACATGATAGAGGTGTCCAAGACTAGGCAGGATGTTCTGTTTCTCATGGTGCAGCGTTAAACTGTGGAATTCGTTTCTACAAGACCATCGTATAGGAGAGTTGGAAGGGGCCACGGGGCCGTTGGATCCAACACCCTGCTCATTGCAGGACCCCAGGTGAAACCCTCCCTCTCAGATCCAGTGGTGCCTTGGCTCACGAACACCTCAGTTCACCACCAAATCGGGTCACGAACAGAAATTTTGGGAAAATTTTCCCTCGGGTCGCAAACTCCACATCAGGTGATAACCATGATCGTGGCTATGTTCCCACACGAACAGGATTGCGATCGCGGCCATCTTCCCCACTCGTGGTCGCAGACAGACCTGGGGGCACTTGTTGTGAAGCTTATTGAATGACGGCTCCAAAGAAAGTGCAGAGCAAGCACGGTGGTAAAAAGAACGGGCAGAGCGGTAAGGAAGGTGGGCAGAACATGCAGCTTTTTCGCCAAAATTGACCCTGCAGCTAAGAGACAAAGAAGAGAGGAAACCCCTGAAGGAGAGCTCCCCATGTCCTTATGGAGGGGGACTCTCCCTCCTAACAATAACCTCCCCACCACCCAGGTTACTGTTCTCTCTCTTCAAACTGTACTGTACTTTGCTTCAAATTTTTGTGATAAAAATATTTACGGGACGGATTAACCTTATGTACATTGACCCTTATGGGGAAATTTGACTTGGCTCGCCACCGGTTTGGGTCGTGACCAGATTCCTGGAACGGATTAAGTTCGTGAGCTGAGGTGCCACTGCAGCTGTCCAGTTGCATCTTGGATGCCTCCTGTGTGAGAGCCCACAGCCTTCCCAGGTCATGGGTTCCAGTGCTGTGCTCTGATGATCAGGACATTTTTCCTGATGTTCAGCCGGAACCTGACTTCCTGTAACTTGAGCCCGATATTTTGTGTCCTGCGCTCTGGGATGACTGAGAAGAGCTCCTGTATCTGCTTTGTGACAGCAATGTCAAGTGCTTGAATGGTGCTACCGTATCAGACGTCCCTCCTCGAGGCTGAATATGCCCCGTTCTTCCAAGCTCCTCGTAGGGCTTTGTTCCCTTGTCTGCCTCTTTCTTCAACTGTGGTGCCTAGAATGGATGCACCACAGTTGGAAGAACTGTTAGATGAGGCCCAGCCAGTGCTGAGGGGTGATTTGGAGTGATGGACCCCAGTCTGGGTGGCTTTCGATAGGGTTTAGACAAATTCCTGGAGCCAGGCTCTCAGGGCTACTAGTCCTCATGGTTCTGTGCTACCTCGAGTATCAGAGGAAGCAGGCGGGACTACTCAGGTCCTGCTTATGGGATCCTGTGACTGCTGGTTGGTCACTGTGCAAACCGAATGCTGGACTAGATGGATCCTTGGTCTGAACCAGCAGACTTCTTTTCTCCTGGTGTTCTAAACCTCGGATTCTTCCAGAGCAAATGTCATCCTTCCTGTCTGTTATTTGTCCCAAACAGGTCGCTTCCTTTCTCTGCTTTTCATTTTATTCATCCGCCATGTGTTTATTTTGTGGCAGGGTTGGCCTAAAGGGGTGTCCAGTCAGACGAGGCTCTTGTATACCATCCTCAGCCATTGCCCGTGTTTGAATGATAACCACAGTCTACCTCGGTTTCTTTAAGCTGTGGTGGATTGTAGCACAGGCTGCCAGCTAGGTGTGTTCGTTTATTTATTAGGATATTTTTATCCTGTCCAATACGGTTCGTCTCCGGACAGCTTGCAATGTAAAATACCCAATAGATGCATCCATCAACAACAAAATAAAATGCGACTGAGGATATCAATAAAAACATAATTAAAATATTTAAACTTTAAAATATTGGGTAAATAAAAAGGACTTGACCTGGCACTGAAAAGTGTATAACGTTGGCACCAGGCGAACCTCTCTGGGGAGCACGTTCCACAGCTGGGGTGCCACCACAGAGAAGGCCCTCCTCTCTCTCCTACCCCCCTTCAAGGAGGGTGCCCGGCGCAGGGCCTCTGCTGCAGATCTTAAGGGGTGGGAGGGTGCATGGGGAAAAGGCGTTCCTTCAGGTCTCCCAGTCCCAAGCCGTTTCTGTGTTTATAGGTTGAATATGTGGCTTGCTTATTCAGAATGGTAGATGGCAGGCACTTGGATCCACCACGGTTTAAGTAACTGATTTTGTTCATTCTGTAACTGAAAGCCCTGTTGCCGCTGCTTCTCACATCAGGTTTCTCTCTCTGTTTCAGCAGGTGATATGTGGCAAAGAACCAATGACGTGGAAACACTTCAAGCGTTGGAGGAAAGTGCTACATGTCTAGCCGTGGAAGTTGTTGTTGGGTCTCAAGGTGGAATGAAGGAACAGGAGGGAAACCAAATGGATAAGAAGAGGAATGACACTCTTGCTTATCTGGGTGCTGACTTCCATGAAATCCCGGTCCATCAAAGGAAGCGCAAAGGGCAGAGAAACAATGAGTGCTCTCCCTATGCAGAAGGCTGTGATGATCAGTCAGACCTTAACATGCATTCAAAAACCCACACAGGAGAGAAACCATTTCCATGTCTGGAGTGTGGAAAAAGCTTCAACAGAAATTCAGAACTTAATAGACATAAAAGAATTCATACCGGAGAGAAACCATTTCAATGCCTGGAGTGTGGCAAGAGCTTCAGTCAAAGCAGGAATCTGACATCGCATCAAAGGAGCCACACTGGGGAGAAACCCTATAAATGCCTCGAGTGTGGAAAGAGCTTCAGCAACAGTGGAATTCTTACTACACATCAGAGAAGCCACACAGGAGAGAAACCGTATAAATGCCTGGAGTGTGGGAAGTGCTTCAGTCAGAGTGGCATTCTCACGGCTCATCAAGGAATGCATTCAGGTCAGAAACCTTTTCAGTGCCTGGAATGTGGAAAGAGGTTTCGTCAGCTCATTCACCTCACGTCGCACGAAAGGATCCACACAGGGGAGAAACCATTTCAGTGCCTGGAGTGTGGAAAGAGCTTTCGGCAGCACATACACCTCACCTCTCATAAAAGAACCCACACAGGAGAGAAGCCTTTTAAATGCTCGGAGTGTGGAAAGAGCTTCAGTCAAAGCTCACACCTCATTAGACATGAAAGAACCCACACAGGAGAGAAGCCATTTAAATGCCTGATGTGTGAAAAGAGCTTTGGTCACAGTTCAGAACTTGTTAGACATGAAAGAACCCACACAGGGGAGAAACCATTTAAATGTCCAGATTGTGAAAAGAGCTTTAGTCGGAGTTCAGAACTTATTCGACATAAAAGGATTCACACAGGGGAGAAACCGTATAAATGCTTGGAATGTGAAAAGAGCTTCATCGATAGCACAAACCTTATTAGACATCAAATAAGTCACACAGGAGAGAAACCATATAAATGCAATGAATGTGGAAAGTGCTTCAGTCAGAGCAGAAGTCTTACTGCACATCAAAGAACCCACACAGGAGAGAAACCATTTAAATGCCTAGAGTGTGGGAAGTGCTTCAGTCAAAGTGGCATTCTCACAGCACATCAAGGGATGCACACAGGACAGAAACCATTTAAATGCCTGGATTGTGGAAAGCGGTTTCGTCAACATATACACCTGACCTCACACAAAAGAATCCACACAGGAGAGAAACCCTTTAAGTGCATGGAATGCGGAAGGAGTTTCCGTCAGCACATACATCTCACTTCACACAAGAGAATCCACACAGGAGAGAAACCATTTAAATGCACAGAGTGTGGCAAGAGCTTTGGTCACAACTCCATTCTTATTTCTCACATAAGAACCCATACAGGAGACAAACCATATAAATGCCTGGAGTGTGGAAAAAGCTTTACTTGGAGCACGCTGCTTATTCGACATGAAAGAACCCACACAGGAGAGAAGCCGTTTAAATGCCTGCAATGTGGAAAGGGCTTCAGTGAGAGTTCATTACTTAATAAGCATCAGAGACGTCACACCGGGGAGAAACCCTTTAAGTGCTTGGAGTGTGGAAAGTGTTTCATTTCTAGCACACTTCTGATAAGGCATCAGCGGATTCACACAAGGGAGAAACCGTTTACCGCCTGGAATGTGGAAGGGGCTTCTGTCGGGCCTCAGCGCCTATTAGATGCAAACGAATTCTTGGAGGAGAGAATGCCTAACGATGATGAGGGTGAAGTGAAAGCGTTTGTCTTGCAATAAACCTCAGCTGGCCAGAGCAGTTATTCACCCAGGGGGAATGCCTGGGTATGTTTATGCTGTTGTAAAAGCTTCTGTAGTAATTCAGCTTTAAAGGACACAAGAGTGAGAAAATCTACACATTCTTGTAGGAGGAAAACAGCTACTATGGAAGCATTTGGCCCACTTCATACCTGGGATATGAAATGGGGAACAGTGGGATGAACCTATGAGCAGAGCTCTGTAACAGCATTAGATCTGCCAGTTTTTCCAGCACTACCTACTTCCTTTCCTTGAAGATCTACAGCAGAGTGAAGGAACTCAACCAATCCAGCATCGTGGTTTTTTTATAGAGTGTGTATTTCCTTTGTGTAACTACAAACCAGTGTTTTCACCTTCGACATTCCCTGAGCAAAGCTGCTAGTGGTATGAAGCTCTCCTCTTCCACTTCTCCTCATTTGGAAGTCACATCAGCTATATATTTGCTGGTTTTCCTTTCCTTGCAGTTTTAACATCAGTTTTGCAATGGAATATCCAGTAATCACAGGAATGCTCAGTTTAGAGGGCATTATAAAAGCTGACATTTGTTAGTCATTGCAGCAAAAATGGCAGAGTCCTAGCTTGCCACGATTTCCATACATCTTGTAAACTGAGCTTTGGTAAGCAAGGGCTGCCTGAAGTGGACCTGAAGTGGTGTCAACCAAGCCCTGGCTGGTAGATGCTTGGTTGGACATACCTGCATGAAGAAAATCCTTAGGGGAACTTCTGTCATGTAGGAACAAGAAAACAAAGATCAGAAACTCTTCCATGTGGAAGGTTGTGAAAGGACAACCCGGTCAGGAAGTTAAACAAACCTTAGCGGAGAACCGGACGCTGAAAATTAATGGAACTCCAGTGTCACTTAGTGACTGACTTGTGTAATAACACTATCTGTACACTGAATATTTATCTTTACATGTTTGTGGCAGAGAGAGGGGGCCTTTGGGATGTGTGTGGCGCAAGGACAGAAACGCAGTCATATAACTTCCTGTTGGCTGATGTAAATACTGTTCTGGACAGCCCGGAAAGCGTAGCTCAAAATGGAGGGAGAAGGTTTCTTCCATCTCTCCGCCTTTCCAAAGTGCTGATCGCCTTAGTGTAAGGACGCACAGCCGTTTTCTGTTCCGAGGGTTACCTTGGATGCCCACTAGGGGGGTGGGAACAGATATGTGCATGCAGATACATGCAACGCACTCGTAACTAAAGCACACTGACATTCACATGTGTACACGCACGTACAACACTCTTCATGAGCTGCTACGCCGGGGAGGGAGAAGGCGGAAACCTCCTCCTCCAAACCAGTGCAGCCCAATCACTGCTTTACCACCGCTGTCGTCAGAAGTAAAGCAAGTCAGGGCTCTCTAATGCTGGTTAGTGGTAGACAAGCACCCCTTTGGCCTGGTGAGGGGTTGTACGACAGGGGAGACCCCCGACCTAATTTACCGCTGTCCTCGGCATCCTGACATGACCTTTTTGCAGTGAGAGTGGCGTCTGGCCTCAGCTCAGCGGGGCACGAGCTGGGCTTTTGCACATCCCGCTTTAGAGCGTGGAAGCCAAACTTGAGGGGTGTCTGTTGAGCGCGACCCGCCTAATGCATGGCTGTTCTGTTCACGCCCTGAAAGGGACAGAATGGAGATACAAGCTGGAGTTGGAGGCTGCCTTAAGCCAAACTCTGGCATTTTTCCTTCAGAGAGAGTAGAAATGCTTTACATGCGGAGGGCTTATGCTAGAATAAGTCAACTTCCTCACTTCCCAGTTGTGGCTGAGGCACGACTCGTCCGGACGAGAGAAGAGACCCTTCCTAGTAGCTGTGCGTGGAGTATGGGAGTCCTTAGCCACGCCATCCATTCGGGCTCTTCTCTTACTGTTTTTGGTGACTAGTTAAACTTTCCTGTACTGACAAGCTGTTTCTTGGCTCAGCAGATGACTATTTTATTAACGTAGACCAACATTTTAGAACATTTTAATCTGCTGTGCCCTGTTTCCATTTTTAAGCTGTCGTCGTATTTCTTTTATGGGATCCTTTTGCTGTGAACTGTCCTAGGTGAGGCAGCTTGCGTTGGAAGGGTGGGATAATTTTTTTTTCTAAATGCTTTAAAATTCACAACAATTCCCAGGGAAGAACACACAAGTGTGCTGGGGGGGGGGGGGGGGAAAAGCTTCTGTACTAACACAAACCTTGCTGTGTTTCAGAGGAGCTGTGCAGACATGAGGGGGTCTGAGTCTGTAGCCCTGTTCTGGAGATCAGACCTAACCAGGGCAGAAGCATCGCATTTTTCACACTCGGAATGTGGGATGGCCTGAAAAGGAGAGCTTTCCGTATTTGTGGAGGCTTCCCGTGCAAGCCAGAACACATTTTTTCATGGTTTGGGCTCAGCTGGAAAGCCTCCATTTCTGACAGTCCACGAACGGAAAACGATGGCTGTACGCATTTGCCCTATTCAGAGCACTGGAACAGGTGTTCTGTATGGTTTATGTATTGCAAGGGTGGGGAACTTGTGGCCTTCCTGACGTTGCTGGACTACAGCTACCATAACCCCTAGCTGTTGGCCATTGTGGCTGGGGCTGATGGGAGTTGGGTCTGACAATGATGTCCAGAGGGCCGCGGGTTCGCCGTTCCTGATGTATCATAATATTTTTCTCCCCATTTTTCAGACCAGTGTTGTCTCCCCAGTAGCTCACGCCAAGAAAGAGAAGAAGGAGAAAGAGGCAGGCCCTGGCTTCAGGCTCGCAGACTAAAAAGCCAAGTCGCCCAAGAAGCAGAGAGAAAAGGTAGGAAAGGAAGATGAGTTTGGCAATGCCAGAACAAAGCGGAGTCACAGCATCTTCATGGCTGAATCTCCGATTTTTGGAAGAGAAGGGTGCATTAGGCTCTCTTCCAAACCTTCTACACTCTGTCTCAGGGATGACTTGTTGTGCAACCCAGTTGGCCATAGATGTGGCTAATGGGAATCTGGAGGGCCAGTGCCACTTCAGAACATGGTGAGCTGTCTGAAGGCAAGTTTGTCTTGCCAGACTTCGGAGAAGCTGGATGACGATGGGAACCTTTGTTAGCTGGGCCACCATCTTTCTGTCCCTAGTTGGGCTGCCAAATAATTCTTTCCAAGTTTGTATTCCACGTGTACCTTTTGTAACACTAATGCTGTGCTTGCCAACACCTCTAGCCATTTGGCAACAAAGCCCTATCACTCAACCCAGTTGACGACTCTCTTCACTAACTACAGCAAGGGTGGGGAATCTGTGGCCATCTTGATGGTGAAGGACTACAACTGCCATCAGGGACTGATGGAATTTGGAGTCTTCACCTCTGGAGGAAGACAGCTTGCTCATCCCTGGCTTGCAGACTTGCTGTTTGTAGTTTTCCCAATGTTCATGGCACCTGAAATAAGAGAATGCATTAAAATGTGAGTTACAATTCTGAAGCTACCTTTCTTATTCTACAATAAATATCCAACTTGTCTTGTACGTGTCTGTACTTTTCATTTGCTGCTTTAAATTGTCAAGAAAGTGAAAAGGTTGCATGTTTATGTGTGTCATGCATGAAAGGGATACGCCACTAGTAACATAGTTCAGAGATGAGCAATTCCAGATAGATGCTAATTTTTCCCTTCCTTAATACCACTCCTGGTAAAACCATTGAGTTGATCTAGAAGAGAGCACAGGAAGTACCTGGCTATCTTTTTGTTCAGTGACTTTAAATTTCAGCCTTTACATTTGGGGCACGGGCTTGGAGCTTTCCAGCTGTTGTTTGACTCATACCGGATGCAGTCGAGGGACTGTTAGGTCCAGCGTTGTAGTTGTCCATAGGAAGCCCACGACCAAGACATGGCAACTCACAGCATCCTTCCCCCCATTATTCCCAGAACTGGTGCACATGGAGCTATGAGGACTAGGAGCCGCTGGTAGCCTGAATCTCCATGAATTTGGCCAGTCCCCTTTTTCATCTCTCGGAGCAGGTGGCCATCACAACATCATGCAATTGCAAATAAAAGGAGGGGGGCTTCAGACAGCATGTGCTTCAAACGACATAAGCCACATGTGAGGAAGGACAGGAGCTGCAGTCCAGCCATGTCTATAGGGCTACATATGCCTGACTTGTGTAGGGGGTAGCTTTCTGACTGGCTACCCTTTTTTCTGGGTGTACAGACTTCCTGTTGATTTCTGCTAATGTCCACCAAGCTGCTGGGACCCCAAAAGGGGTCATAGATAAGAAAAACAGCCCAGATTCGATGGCTGCCAGGACACTCAGATCTATCCAACTGCAACTTTTCTCTCTATCACTTTAAACACGTATTTTCTGTGCTAACTATTGATCCCTAAATGCATATATACACCAATACATTTTTTCTCCCATGAAGGCAGAGTAAGCAACTTAACTGTCTGCAGAGGTTTTGGCCTGCTGCTTACATGATCCCCTGCGCTGCTGGGGCTGATGGAAGATGTGGGCCAAAACACCTGCAGGACAGCCCAAAAGGTACTCACCCATTCAGTAGGGCTTTGACATGCAGCATCCATTTATTTCCATGTGGCATTGTTGCTTGCTTTGCCACTTGCGTTCAAGAGATTTGTAGGCTGCGTAAGCTGATGGACCTGCTGTTTGAGCAGAAAGCCTTCAAATGGCAAAGTAACATGAACTGAATCCTCTGCCTTTCTGTTCAAAAAACACTTAAAGCAGTTGTTGCAGAAATGCGCTTGGTCTCTCAATGGTCGGTGAAAAAGGGAAGCAGCACCCAGGAGAGATCGGAATGGATTATTTTGCATATGCAGGCGAGATCAGTCAGCAGCGGGGATCCTGCCCCAAAGCAGGGCTGACAGAAGGGGAAGGGTAACAATTTCCAGGCCGACAATGGATTCTAACATTAGTTGTAAGTTTGCCTGTCAGGGCACCTTTCCCTGATGACATCAGGGAGAATGTGTGGCCGATATTTTCCCGGTCACATATGTGGATACCTGCCTGTGATCCCAGGAACAGGCTGCACCTGCCAGCTGAGGCCCTTGGCAGCGGCAGTTGAGCTGGTGGCCCTTGTCCTGATGGCTGTTGGGGGTGCGGCTGGGGAGCTTCTGCCCGGTGCCATCGCTTAGGCGCTTTCATGCTGATGCTTGTGGAGAGGCCTGTGGTTTCCGGAAGCCGCTTTCAGATTCATCAGCCTATAGCTCAGGAGTGCGCGCCTTGCCCTGCCTCTGAAGTCTACCTGCTGCTCAGGCAACCCACCAAGGCCCCTTTGGGCGCAGAGTCTGGCCATTGCTGGGGCTGCTGGGTCAAGGAACACACTCTGTGAGAGGTTGCCTAATGCAGTCACGGAAAGAAAATTGGATCATTATGAGCAGCCGGCTTTTTCCAACACAGTCGCCATATTTGTGTGCTAACACACACCGACAAAAAGCAGTCGTCTAAGATACTGGCGGTATAGCCGGTGGTCAATATATTTCCGACTTCTGTATCAAGGCAGGAAAAGTGGGCTTGAAGACTGGAGGCAGAGCAGGATTGAAGTGCGGTGCTTGGAAGCCACCCTGCGGTGCCCGGTGCATCCCGACTTTCTACCCGGGCCCGAGGCCGCCTCCTCCCGCACCCCCCGCTTCTGGCCGCGCGGGGCGGGGGTCGAGCATGCGACCACCCGGGGGGCGTCCTGCGTGGAGGGGTGAGAGACGGGACATCGAGTACTGCACAGCCCTCTCGCTCCGCAGCCCTGCAGGGATGGCAGCTGCGGAGCGCGGGGGGGGGGGGGGCGTTTCTGGCGGACCACATGCCCCATCAGCCGCAGCGCTGAGGCCGAGAGAAGCCGCTTTCCGTGCGTGCGGGACGGACCCAGCGCGGGTCCGGCGGCTGTGCCTCCGCCAGGCGTCGCTGCCACCCGGGGCCGCCTCCGCGCGGGGGCCGCGCCGCCCCTTCCCGCCCCGCGGGTCCCCGGATGCGGCCGGGAGCGCGGCGGGGCCCGGGAGCGCGGCGCGGCCTGGGCGGAGGGCGGCGCGGCCTGCGGCGCTGCGGGCGAGGAGG